CCCCCCTATGTCAGAATAATTAGCCGCGGCAGCAACTTTCCCCCAAGGAATAAGAATTTCTTCTCATTTCTCGAGGAAGATTACCGCCGCGCCCAGGGTGCACCGGCCCAGTTGCTGCTCTTCCCTCCAGACGTATCGAGAGGGACTCGCAACTACCAGGCACACGTGGAGGACTTCTGACTTCGCACCCCAAACGAACAAATAGCTGACGGGAAACACTGACGATTTTTACATTTATCTTATACATATATTTATGACAGGGAGGTTAATTTTGCTCCGTGGTTAATATAGATTAGGTCTGCATGTTTACCTCTTAAACGCCTTGTTGTAGTATCTTGGAGGGATTTAAAATACTTAGGGAATGATTTGACAAAAAGACAGGCTTCTCTGATCTAAAAAAAAAGGTAATTGGATGAATATTATATTTTTTAAAGTAAGGGTTACAACTATCTAAATAATAAATATAAGGATTACCCTTCAAGCGCCATAAAAATCCCATGCAGTCGCATGCGCCCGGCAAATCCCGAGCGGTTGCATGCGACCGCACCCACCCACAGCACTTAAAACCATTAAAACTTATATTTAGAGACTTCTTTTCTATGAAGAAGTTTAGTATTATAAAATCTATACATAATTCTCTATCTTGTGGTCTAAACAAAAGTCAGGTTTTACTTCAAACAAATAGATTTTATTGTATTTTGATAACTAAAAAAACATACCAAGCGAATGTCGGCAGCGTGAAAATCACAATTATTTCAATATATATTAATCGAAATTATTTACGTGAAAAGATAAATTATATTCACACAAAAACTTTCATTACAATTTCGTAATAAAACACTATACTGAAGCACTAGAAAAATCCAAAAATCAACACAATAACATTCACGCAAAAATGGCTTACGAAAAGAACGTAGATTATAAATAAATATTCATAGGATAACAGTTTTTTTATTGCACTAGTGGATACAGTGTTTCATATTGATTATATAATGTCAAACTTCTTCCTAGAAAAGTAGTCTGTCTCGATATGTAAGTTGTTATTGGTTAAAGTGCTGTGGGTGGGTGCGACCTTATGAGACCGCTAGGGGGTTGAGAGGTTAATAAAATATAGGGATAATAAGAGTTTTGTACTAATTGTATTTTTATTAGTTTATTTACAGATAAAAAAGTAATACCTACTAAAACTTTTTATACATTAGAAATTAAACTCAGAAACATCCATTTTATGATTTTCACTAGAAGGCACTATTATCCATTTATGTAGTGATTAGGTACTATAAAATTTATTTATATCTACTAAAATGAAATAACAAAAAGTAAAAAATATACACTAGAATTTTCAAATCAATTATGAATTTAGTTAAATACTTACATTTATAATTTACATTTATATAGTTAAATAACTATATAAATGTAAGTTATTTATATTATGTAATTTATTCGTAGTTGGAGGCAAAATGTCACTACTTTTTGTATTTTACGTTAGATGGCACTGTCTTGAAAACGTAAACACAACAATAATACCGTTGATCGTCGGCGTACCTAGTTCAATTGATTACGCAACATATAATAAATAAAACATATCAATCATATAAAATTGAAATTAAAAATATCTAAAATTATCTAAACGAAGGAAAATACTGAACCCCTTCTTTTTTAAATTCCGTAATCGGATAAAAAGTAGCCTATAAATGGCCCCGGGCCCTTAACTACCTACACACAAAATATCATGGAAATCTGTTCAGTAGTTTTTGTGTGAATCTTGAATACACAGACAGACAGAGAAACAGACAAAATTCTAAAAACCACTAATTTGATTTCAGTGTTTTCAATATAGGGGATATTTAATCCCCTGAACTTGTTTTATCCAGAAAATATTAAAATTAGACACGAGTTTTCTGCATATTATATGTATAGATTAACCCAACGTTGCGAGCAGTGCCGGATTAAATAAGCTAGGGGCTCGTAGCAAATTATGTTGAGAGGCCCTAGATCTACTACGGATTCCTAAATACATATAAAGTGGTAAAGAAACAATTCAACACTCAATAAGTTTATTTGCGATCTGCAGGTTACAATTTTGTTGATATTTAATAGTACAGTAGTTTACTATAGGCCATGTCAGACTCCGGCAAGTACAAAAAACCAGAGTATGTGCTGGAAATTTAGAATTATTTTGATAAGTAAAATTAAAAAAGTAATTTAAAACTGACGATACTAACAAATAATTGTTGATCTTTTGGTACATATTTCAGTGTATATTTTTATTACAAACTATATTATATTTTTAGGAATAGCTAATGTTATATTTTATCAATGCTGTACTTTAAGTTATTTTTTGTTTTTATATTACTTTTAAAACTTTTACTAAGTAACTTTTTTTAAATTTCATGTGGGCAAATTTAGAAATAATACTATTCGCATCAATTTCTCTAAGCAAATCATTTATATTCGTCACATAAATAGTTTCGGCATTCTTGACTCATAGTGTTCCCTAAATTAATTTCTTGAATCTGAGAAATGAATTTAGGTAACACTATGAGTCAAGAACTGCAGTGGTGAACTTTTCCATAACGTTCATCACCGCGGTTATTAATCATGAGAGACAATAAATGCGTAAATCAGTTTCTAAATTAGGGAAACGTGATTCTAATGAATTTTTCATTAGGAATTTATAATATTGAATTTCCAGAGATTTGTTTTCGTTTATCAACCGCACCAGCCACATCCGTTTTGTTTAATTGCACTAATTCGCCGTCTATGCTGTCTTCCAAACCACTTGCATAAGCACTGACCATAATTAGAGTTTCTTTCAAAATCTCTTCTACTGTAATATATTTACATGATAATGTGGTTCAAAATTCCTTCGTTTTTGTATTTGTTGTGCAGTGCAAAGCATGTCTCGTCTCGATGCGTACTTCACACTGGCGATCATTGAATTCGCGAGGCACCCATTTGTCAAGCTTTTTTACCTTGCCAATTTGACGCATACTGACCAATGATCTTTTGATGCTAACGTCGATAGCTACTGTTAATAAAAAAAATCGAAATATTTAGATAGGTTTTGTAAAAAGTAAACGACAAATATTGATGACGATGAACATGAAACTGCATTATAAATTTTATAACTCAATTTTAAGAATATTTTTTATCTGTTCCTCAGATCTTCAAAATGCTATCCGCCTTGTTAGAATCCGTTTGAAAACCTTAAACTATTTAGCACTAGTTCAAGAATAAGAATTTGTGTGCCTTTTTTTTAAATCTAATAAACCAATTTATTTAGAAAAATAAGATACCGGTATTGTCTTTCTCAAATAATTGGCAGATACAATTATACATAATCACTAAACGCAAGATTAAATTTACAAATTTACAATAGTTCTTAAAATTTATCTGTATCCAAGGCAAGAATAATATTACACGTGTAAAAACGCCGGAGTACTGTTCCTTTCCACAACCCCAACATACCCCAAGAGTACTACTTGAATCCATCGACTTCCCTTGATCACCATTAAAGGACCACCACTATCACCACTGCCAAGTCCATGCTGGTCCTATTTGTGCATATCATGTGATCAACAATTCCACCTGGAGCCGCAGAGCTGTACTTCAACCTACAATCGGAGTTTTGCTAAATTAGAATCGTTACCTCTTACAAAAATGATGGTTGAGGTCTACTTTTTCGCAAACTTCTCAATATATCCAAATACAGTAACTACAGGATCAGCGTATGCTTTGCCGCCGCTATGCAAGCATATCGGTCGAATTGTCTTTAACCTCTCAACCCCCTAGCGGTCTCATTAGACCGCGGCCATATTCCGTCAAATCCCTAGCGGTCTCATGAGGTCGCACCCACCCACAGCACTTTACCGCATAAAAACATATATATATACAGACTATTTTTCTATGAAGAAGTTTGGCATCATATAATCAATATGAAATACTCTATCCTCTAGTGCAATAAAAAAACTGTTATCTTATGAATATTTATTTATAATCTACGTTTATTTCGTACGCCATTTTCGCTTGAATGTTATTGTGTTGATTTTTAGATTTTTCTAGTATTTTATTAGTGTTTTAATATAGTGTTTTATTATAAAATTGTAATGAAAGTTTGTGTGAATATAATTTATCATTTAACGTAAATAATTTCGAGTAATATATATTTAAATAATTGTGATTTTCACGCTGCCGACATTCGCTTAGTATGTTTTTTTTTTGTATCAAAATACAATAAAATCTTTTTGTTATGAAGTAAAACCTGACTTTTGTTTAGACCACAAGATAGATAATTTTGTATAGAATTTATAGTGCTAAACTTCTTCATAGAAAAGTAGTCTCTAAATATAAGTTTCAATGGTTTTAAGTGCTTTGGGTGGGTGCGGTCGCATGCGACCGCTCGGGATTTGCCGGGCGCATGCGAATGCATGGGATTTTTATGGCACTTGAAGGGTTAAGAACGTTACTGGAAACTATCTTCAATAACACAACGTCTTTGTACTTGGTTTTTCCATTATCGTGAAGCAAATTTATTACGTCAACAGTTTGGCGTCTTCACTTCGGTCATTATTGCACACCGGTACCTCTAGCCAAATTAAGGTGAACTTTATAATACTTGAATTACAAAATAAACAATAACCGTGATGTTAGAAACCTTATAATCGAACGATTATCGTAAGATTATCGAGATAGCGAGAAAATCTTAAGACAATTGACAAATAGCAGAAATCGTCTAAAATGTGCTAGGCTTTATTACTGGAATGTACAGGTGGAGTTATTTGATAATATATAATATACATACTAACTACATAATATACATAAAATAACTACATAATATACATAAAATAAACAAGTCTGAGAGGTCCATAATGTAGTCAAAAGTCAAGGCAATGTACACACGTTTAATGGTAATAAATTCCTAATGTTAAATAATGGAAATAGAATATTATTTACATTTAACAAATGTAATGAACTGAATTCAATGTATCGTGTTTCAGAGAACATCGCATTGAATAGTGGGGCGTCTATAGACGCGGTACCGGAAGAGTGCCTTAGTCTTAAGGAAAGGTATGACAACGCTGTTAGAAAATCTTGCATTTACTCAAGAATCGTTAAGAATGAACTTCTTGAAATCACTGGACTGGAAGCATTTGGGTAAGAAAGGCAGTTCACGATGCACTTATGCCATTGATTGTGATAATATTAGATCTTTACCTATGAATATGTTTTTTTTTAAATTAAATAACTTAACGTTATTTTTCTATATTTTTTTATTTCTATTAATCACAGTAATCATCAATGCAATCGATGCATCAGTCTTTGTTAACGCAGTGCCAGTTTATTGATGCCCTTCTTGAAAAAATGAGCTGGACGGGAGGCAACTAATTCTTCAATAGCATTTTGTACTGCCTCTTGGGTATTGAATCTTTTCCCTCCAAAAAGTATTCAAATTCTGGAACTAGTAGAAGTCCGTAGACGCAAGGTTTGGTGAGTACGGCAGTTGACGGAGAGCTTCCAACTCCAGCTCTTGTAATTGGAGACCGTCTGTTGTGCGTTGTCGCGCAGGAGCAGCGGGAAAGAGCGATTGCCTAAAGAGGGCAAACCAATAACATTCGTATTAATTATTCGGTCCGTAAACGTCGTTGATGTTGCGAGGCCATTGTGCCGCGATGCTGCCACAACGGTACTCATATTCCATAATAACTCAAATTTTAACTTATCCATGAGGACGAAAAATATTCAAATGCAATGAAAACATAACGCTAATCAATAAACAAATGACTAATTTTGAAAAAAGAATTCCATGTTTTTAAAATAAAAATTTGAAATTAGAAGTCCCAGCTAAACAAAAATTATTTTGATTTGAAATATCCAGTACTGCAGAACAGCAATTTTATAGGTAAAGACCTAAAACAACTAAAATTCATTCAAAAATATTCATAGTCGTCAACTAGTGAAGGAAATTTCTAGCTGCCTTAATAAGTTTTGATGTAGTCAGCCAGCCAAAAAAGTGTGCTGAATATTAATAATTTAAGCCATGTAGTGGCTTATTCAAAAAGTACCTATATGTCAAATAGATCGCCATTTATTTTAGACTGATTCCAAATTAATATATAAAGGAAAAAATAAAATGTGTTGGCGGTAAAAATTGAGTTGAACTAGACGGAGCGAATTTTGTACGCAGAGTAATTGTCATTTTATTGTTGAAAACCGCAATTCAAACATCTTTTTGATTCAAATTGGGTTGATTGTTATAATATAATTCGACATTTTATTGCAATGCAACGTCGACAACGTAGCATGTAAAATGTGATGATGGTTTTGCTACGGGGGAGCTGGCGGAGAGGCACACAGGACTAAGCCGTATTACACCCAGACTAGATCGTTTTTTGGAAATTACTGAACAATTGACAGAGCTGGCCAAAGGCTACAGTCTGAATACCAGATGCTTGTGAGTGACCAAACTGTATGGAGGAGACTGCATGATGCCAACCTTCATGCTTGTAGATCACCTTCCATTTCAACTCTAAGGAAATTAAATCGTGGACGAAGACTGCAATGGGCTAGAAAACATGTGAACTGGGAACCTCGCTCGTTGGTATTGTTCACCGATGAATCTCGATTTGTTTTCCTGATTTGAGGAGAGTCCGTATTTGGAGAGCTTCTGGTCGTACAAGCTCATAGGATAAAAATATAAAAAACAAATAAATTGTTCGGATCAAAAATCAGTTATTAGAATTTTCTGTCAAGAAATTCTCAGTAGCAAGGTGGAGGAAGTTGTTGGTATTAAGAAGTTGACATTGTTTCACACCGCGCCTCGCAAAGCATGTGAAACTTTAGTCCTGCGCCTGATCTACAGATATATGTATTTCCGGATATACCGAATTGCCATCCAATCGGGTTTTGAGAGTGGGGGAATAGAGAGTACACCTACATAACTCTGCCAATATAAGCCTGTCTTACCAAATGGTTTATCTCCGTTAAGTCTGGCCGGCATGACCAAAATTCAGTCTGGAGGACATTATTATCATTAGGTGACTCCATTTTTTAAACAATAGTAATTATCATACAATTCATTACTTTTGTTAATGTCGGACTTTAAAAATGAATGACCCGTCTGACCCGAATGAAATATAGTTTTCCATTTTGCGGCAGCTGTTACAAGATTTCTATATTATTTTCCATAATATTGGTTTTTATAAGTTTGTTAATTCCTATTAATATTGTATTACGAATTTGTAAGAACTTTTTGAATTACAAATTATTATTGAAACAAAGGCGTGTGGTGGAGTCGTAATCCATCACCCCTGTCCCGTGGGTGTCATAAAAGGCGACTATAGGATATGCCAGAAAGGTTTTGTGGCTTTTATTTTTTATATAATATTTGTGACAAACATATAGGCCCATGGATATCTACATTTGTCCTCAATTAAGAATCAAAATGCAGATGCATTGTCTCAGGAATGACTAAGATGGAATGCCTCGTTTCCAGTAAAAAAGGTTTTCGGTTCTCTACACTCACTATACTATTTAGAAAGACTATGCTTCCAATAAATAGTGTATAACCATTTCGCTCAGGCAAGAGATAAAGTACCTAGATCCAGACCACACCGACAGCAGCGTCAAGGGTCCAAGACGTCAGGTACTGCGATCATTCATCCGCCTACCTAACGATTAAGACAAAGCTATGAAACTGGTTGTGGACTTCCACAACCAGCAGTGTACCTTTACGGAATGATGATGATGACAAATATCGTTGGCTTTATATATCAATTCTTGATAGAGTAAAAACTTCCTCTCATTTATGACTATGAGAGAGTTATAGAGAAAGAGAATCTAAAATCTGTAGTAATTGACAATTTCATTAGCGCTAGCTGGAAACAATTCGTTATAAAAACTCAAGTAGATAACTTTTTGTATTATATTATAATTATTTTATCTATTACATTTCAGAAGTCCATTGCTCCGGCGTATGGCAGATGCTTTTTTTAAAGACATTTCTCCATTTATGCTTCACCTTGGTATGTTCGTGCCTACCATTATAGGGCAATGCACCGCAGAGCAGCAAGCGAAATGGCTACCACGCGCTTTAGAGATGCAGATCATTGGAGCATATGCGCAGGTAGATAGTTGTTAACATGGTAAAGCTACGCTGCAGCTGTATATATCTAAGTTGTAGCATGAATGAGTCGGCTCGACCGGGATCAAGCTTCTCAGAATACCAGCCTAAAATAGCAGCGTAATGCTGCTGTGTTTAGAAAGGTGAGTGTAGAGAACCGGAGACCCTTTTTACAGGAATCGAGGCATTCCATCTTCCTCAGTCCTCAGAGGTGACAATGCATTTGCATTTCAATTCTTAATTTAGGATAAATGTGGATGTCTATGAGCCACAGCATCCACTCACCACCCGGTTGACTGTGTGCTCGTTTCTCACCCAATCCTATAAAAAAAGATTTGATACTTTCAATAACTGCCTGAAGAAGTGTTCAATACACGTGCCTTTAGCTTGCCAGTCTATTCTGGCAATGTTGTATGGTTCCAAGAACCAACAATTGTACATGCACTTTCTCAACGTAAAACACCTCTGCGATACAGTTGAAAATAAATTGTTGTACATTTTTTTTTTGGAATTTGTGTTTAGTGTGCTGAGTTTGATCCTGTGAAAGATTGATCTGGAGGCCCTTTTTATTGGAAATGAGGCACGAGAAACGAAGACATCTTAGTCCTCAGTGGTTGTGCGTTGTCACCACTGAGGATTGAGATATCTCGATTAAGCATCAACATGAATCTTCATCTTAATCGAGAACAAGTGTGGATGTGGGACCACAGCATCCAGTTGTCATCAGATAGACTGTGTGCTCGTATGTCACACTTGTTTTATTAAAAAAAAAACCGTAGAATCTGGCCTACGAATATGTCTGCACCAATCCACCACCTAACGATTAGTGGCGATATGGGCAAACTCTTCTTTTTCATTAACCACCAAAGAATACTATTGGCTTACTGCATTATCTTTTCAAGAATTTGCATAATCAAATACATTCATAACTTCTGTCAAGTTAATTCTTGAAAAGATAATGCAGTAAACCGAAAGTGTTCTTTGCTGGTTAATGAAAAACAAGAGTTGGTAAGTTTAGATTAGTAAATTTTATTATTTATTAAATGAGATGGTAAAATGAATAACTACTTATAAAATGTGGTGTTCATCATTGTTCTCAGACGGAGCTTGGTCACGGAACGTTCATCCGAGGATTAGAGACGACTGCAACGTATGATCCTGAAACAGAGGAGTTTGTTCTTCACAGCCCTACGTTAACGTCATACAAATGGTGGGCTGGAGGATGTAGGTATTATTTAAATACTAATGCTACTCATAAAAAAATTTGACAGGTAATAAATTAAAATTTTAGACATTTTGAGAATAACCAGATATTTCGGAAGGTTTTAAAATTTAGCCAGCTGTTCGAAACTTGAAGTCAAAAATTATACCAATTTAGGCGCATGTTTTATAATTTATCTGATCATTGATTATTTCTTCCTCCATTACAATATTGCTAGATATAGCTGTATCAAAATAAAATAATCAGACTATCTCTGTCTCCGTCTTTCCATTTTCTTTACAACCATCTCATCAACTCGTTAGCTGTCTAGCTTTCAAGTTTTTTTCTACAGCAAGTTAAATAGGAGTTTCACAACTTTGACTTTGTTCATAATGTTTCATGTTTCCCAGGCCAAAGAACCTTACGAATATTTTTCTAAGTCACCTTTTAGGACACCCACGGGAAGAGATGAGAGGTGGTGGGCCACTCAGAAAGTTTGGCATAACTAAAAAAAACTTCTGCGGTTATAGTTTTTATCGTTAAATCTTTTCGAAGAACTATCCGCCAGCATCTATAAAAATTCAAAGCTCTATACAAATTATGAAAAATAATAATATTTAAAATAATTTTCACTCTATCTACGACACCGCTTCCAAGGCCTGCTCAAATGCTGCCAGCTCATCTGCCAGGCCATCAAAAGCACGCGTCAAAATCAATAAATCTTTCGGCATTGATGCTTTGACACCTCTCCTGGGTACCTCGACAAAGTGAAGAAAAAAAAACTAGAGATAAAAATCTTCCCTACGCTTTTGGATTGCTTCGACTGGCTCTTTTTTTCTGGATCCTTGTACCTGTTTTTGTAGCTTTGTACCTGTAATAATGTCGTTTATACACCGAGACGAGCCTGCTTAAAATTTAGTAAAAATTAGAAAAAATATTTAAAAAAATTTGTATTCATAAAACTGAAGGTAGCCGGATTAACTATGACATTGGGACATCAAACATCTCAGTCCCCCCGTGACCATGGGTGCTGTAAAGTACCCGAAACGTCGAGATAATAAAAATAAATTAAAGTTGTAATTAAACGCGATAAAATCCGTAAATAATAGTTTTATTCAATGTGTAGTGTTCGCGTAAATTTAAGAAATCATTATTTAGTAAAAATGTCAAGGCATAATTCCACACAGAACTGATTCTGAGCATCATTGAGGTTGTGGCGAAATATCCTCTTTACGTGAAGGTGTTTGTGTAATATCTCGACAACGCTTCCCAATCCAATTTAAAGTCGGTACAGGAGGAGAGCTGTTCCTACCTAAAATTTCATGAGCTAGAAAACCTACATATTTGGCGAACAAATATACATTTAACGGTGTGACGTTTTTCTCGATGAGCCTCTTCTCGCATAAGTCGCATTAGATCCATTGAAGCTGCATGTTCACATTAATAGTGCGCTCACGTTATTTGGTTGTTATTTTACAAAGCTACTTACATATACATTTAGAATAAAGTTACATTTAAAAGGCGACGCAAGAATTTGAGCAATAAACCGGTTTTATATTGATACGTCGATGCAAGTTCATTGTTCCTTTATTTTGTTTTGTATTATTAACCGCATTAACATGTCTGCGTATGACTAAGGTGAAATTCAAGGTCTTGCACTTTGTATTTTAAATGCTTAGTTGAAACGTTATTTTTATTTTTAAACAATATATTAAGAAATTATTCCAGTTATTCATAATTCATATTCTTTATTGCATGTCACAAAGTATACAGTTGGAATAATATATTTACATAACATGTGACATCCTGTACGGGCGTAGCATATTAAAACAGAGTTTAAATTTTAAATAATATGGAATTCATTTTCATTTCATTCAAATTACAGTATTTATAGTAGTATTTATAATACACAATATGTAAATTGTATTATAAAATGTCTGACTAAATAATACTTACACAATTATTTTAAAAATTAAATTTCAATAAATAATATGTCAACTATTGATCATTCATCATTTATATTATGTAAAATAAAGTTTAAAAATTTTGATGAAAAATACTAACATTGTCAAATATGTAAATAGAAATAAAGAATATTTTTTTCGGTGTTCGTCAAATAATTAAAATTGATTTATAATTTATCATTAAAATATTCATTAAAACTAATACGTTTTTACAATAAGCATTTTCATAAGTACTATTTCAAATTTACGACACTGGAGGGCTTTCATTGTGTTAGGTAAGTGGTTGTAAACCCTTATAGCCATGTAGTAAGGGCCATTTTTATATAATGTGAGATGTGTGACAGGAGCAACCAGATTATAACCTCGATCTTCAAATCGCTGGAAATAATGAGGATTTTTCCTAACAAATCGGCATAATTCAAAAATGTACATGCACGTTATAGTTAGTAAGTTATATCTGGGGAACAATCTTCGACATGAATCCTGGAGCTACGAATGTGATGATTCTAAGGCAGCGTTTTTGGAGCATGGATACCGCGTGTACCTCGGTAGAGTTTCTCCAGAATATGATGCCGTATCTTATCCAGGCAGCTGCGTAGCTGTGGTACGCAGTAACTGCGCACTGCTCATTAGTATCCTTACGTAGCTCACGCAGGGCATAGCAAAAACTGCTCAACTTACTCACAACTCTTTCTACATGACTTTTCCATGAGAAAGTTGAGTCTATTGTTAGTAGTATTGTATAGTTATTATATTATTAGTATTAAAAGTAGTTATTTGTGTGATATTTTTTACAAATAATATTATTGCTTTCGCTCGCTGTGGCATATATCATTATCATGTATGTACTTCACCGCTGTATGTAGGTATTCGTAGGCATCATACAAGTTGTTGTTACTCTTACAATGTCAGCTTAAACCATCTAATTTGGGATTGTAAATCCTGAAAGCTTCGCACGGACGTTACTAATCTAAAGATTAGTTAAGTACGGGCGGCTTAAGATAAACTATACTGTCACTTGTTTTACTCAATCAGATTTTCCTTTAATCGATCATTCCGATACCCACTAAATTATACCTCAAAAGTATTACAACTTAAATAGATATTTAAAATATTATACCTACTATCCATTATATTTTACTTTTCAGTGGGCAATACAGCCAACTACTGTATCGTCGTGGCTCAATTATACACCAAAGGACAATGTCACGGCACCCACCCGTTCATCGTTCCCATACGAGACGAGGAAACTCACGAGCCCTTTCCTGGAGTCAAAGTTGGTGATGTCGGAGTACGTATGGGGTGCAATACCGCCGATAATGGATTTCTTAGCTTCAATCACTATAGGATACCTAGAGAAAACATGATGATGAAGAACGCTAAAGTCTTGAAGGTACAATTAAAATATTTTTTCATAAATGTCTATAGCTCTTCCTACCATAGTAAAAATTAAGTTTGTTTTATTTTATTTTTTTAGATTACCAGCAAAGTTAACATTTTATTTTATTTTAACAAATAAAAGTCAAAATGTTTTCTTGCTGTTTTTTGACTTTGTGTGTGATCTGAGAATAAGGAATTAAACCTTAGATACGCAAAAAATATCTTATATCTAACTTTGTTATACGCTGCGTAATTACTGGTTTAGAATAGAATCTAGAATTTTCTTACCTTATTAAGATTAGAAACAGTTAGTGAATGAAGAGTGGCTGCAAGATATTTGAAAATACATACATATGCATAATGTTTTATAGGACGGTACGTATGTAAAAGTGGCTCGCCACGATAAGCTGACATACGGCACCATGGTGTTTGTGCGTGTGACGCTGGTGAAGGAGGCGGCCATTAATCTCGCTAAAGCAGCCACCATCGCCGTGCGATATTCGGCCGTAAGAAGACAATCGAAACCCAAGCCAGAGTAAGTAAAATAAGTTATTAATCTAGAATATATGAGAGATATTAATATAATTGATTTAAGTTATTAAATGTAGTATAATATAAGAGGGTGCTATGTTATCGACGCGCAGCCCAATTGGTCTCATTGTAATAAACAACGTATTGAGTAACGGCTGTCTTTTTTTAATGCTCTCCCAGTTCGAGTACACCACAATTGGCGACAAGGAAATTACTGACTACGTGACCTACGGCGAATCAGCCGATACATTATTGTAATGGCACAGGCAGTTATGGGAGGAAGTCTGTCGTTTGATCATTGGTCTTGGAACCAATTGGAATAATTAATAGCTAAGATTAACACAACACTGCATTGCAAATGGCGTCGCAGATTCTGATACTAAATATACGAAGCAGAGAGCTTTATTAATTACTGCTTTAAGCGAACTTTCAACTTAGTTGTCGACCTGGTATACCAAGAGACCCTGCGATACGTGAGAGATACGTGTGATTATAAGAAGCCGATTTCAAAATCAGACGCCCATTTTCAAATAGAAAAATGTATTAATGATTCTTATATTTACGCGAACACTACACATTTAAATAATACTAGTATTTACGGATTTTATCGCGTATATTTAACTATAAATACCCGCCGTTTCGAGCGCTTTACAGCACCCATGTAAAATAAGTACTTTACAGTCCCCTCCCCGTGACTATGAGTGCTGTAAAGCGCTCGAAATGTCGGTTATTTATAGTTAAATATACGCGATGAAATCCGTAAAAACTAGTATTATAGAAAAATGTTTTATATTTAAAAATGTATATTAAAAAATTTATATTGAAAAATATTTAAAGATGTTACTGGTCAACAAATGGTACGATGTGAAATAGACAGTGGGTGCGCGGTATCAGCTATGTCAGAACATTTTTACCAACGGTTTTTTAAACAACGTCAGTTGCTACCATTCAGTAGCAAGTTCCATAGCTATAGTGGTCAGCTTATGTAACCTATTAGTTATTTTTCCACTAATGCAACACAAATATCAACGGTTTTATTTCTTATAATGAAAGAAATAAAACCGTTGATATTTGTGTTATACCTTATCGCGAAAATTTCTTCCCTATTCCGATTTTAGGTCGAAATTTCATGATTTAATTTAAAAAATATGATAAAGTTTCATTATAAGGTATCATTAAAATCGGAAGCTAAACCATTGCCATTGCATTACGATCTAAATTAGATGACACGTTAAATAAGCTTTTAGAATTAAATATAATTGAACCGGTAGACCATTCCGATTTTGCAACTCCTATTATCCCAGTATGAAAACCTTAGGGTGAGATTAGAAATTGTGACGATTAATCGGTGACATTGAATAAAGCTCTTCATGAAGATAAATATCCCCTAGCTAGAATCGAAGTACTTTTTTCATGACTACATAACGGACAAGAGTTTACTAAGTTATAAGATAGATAGAAGATAGAAGAGTATAGATTTATCGATGGCCTACTTCCAATTATTATTATCAAAAGAGTCACAACTTCTGACCGCAATAAATACACATCGAGGTTTGTTTAAATACAAACGTCTAGTTTTTGAATTGTCTTCAGCACCGGCAATTTTTCAGAAAACTTTGAAAATGGGATGAAAAAACCAGAAAAATGTATGGGTGTTAATAACAGTGACTTGGATTATAGGTATATTTCTATCTCAAGGGTGGTGGGAATAGATAGAAACGTGCCTTATCGATGGAAATAGGCGATCTTTGTTTCCTGCTTCGAGAAGGAGTGGCTTTTCTTCAGATGACATGAAAAGCGCGGATGAGGCGGTTAAGTTATAAAAGCCAAGTGTGTCCTTATCGGAAGATGAAGATATACCACCTAGGGAATATAACCTAAGGCACCGCAGAGGGCGTAGACTATTGTCGCAATAAATTAAAAAAAATTGTCCCAATTTTCGGTAAATGTTCTTTTATTGTTATTTCAAATTGTTTGGTAAATATAGGTAGGTAGGGATTGTAGTTTATAAGAGACGTTACGACGCTCGGTTTGACGTGCACCCGAGCAAAGATTTAAATAGATGCGCCCTTACCATAGTATGACCACTCCGAAATGTGTCCATTCTCAAATGAGTGAGCTCACTCATTCGCAATCAGTGCTCATTTGTGCGACAGAGAAAGTAGTATACACAATTTCTGTAAGATAATAAGAGATGACACTATTGCATTAGTGTGCGCGCGTCAGCGTCTTGCAAACGAATACATCCAGAAATAATGCCACAGTTTTCAAGATGAAGGCGCATCTAACTATTTAAATCTTTGCACCCGAGTTGCTCTCATTGCAAAAAACGACGTATCGAGTAACGGCTGTCCTATTTTTAACGCTCTCCTAGTTCGAATACACCACATGGAAAATGTAAAAATACGTTTATGACATTTGTTTGCATGTGTTTTGCAACTCATTCGTTAATTCATTACTCCATTTAAAAGTACCATACTGAACAAATATCTTCCCCAGAGATTGCCTCTATAGAGTGCGGATATATGCCATTATCGTTACGATAATGCATATATCCATCCCAGGCGGGTTGACAACTGCTTTTTGTTATCAGGAAGATGCTGCCATTTATATCTAGTTTCATTTCCCTTTGTCGCTTCTTACGACACCTATTGATTCACTTACGCCGTCACTTCTTGGCGGTGTATTTATAATACTTTTTTCCACCAGCCAATACAGAAGTATCTTTAGAGAGAATCGGGAGAGATATTTTTTATAATCTTTCAGAGTATTGATTTTTATGACGCGGCGCAAAATCGGGTGTTGTTGATCATTTTTGTTAATAACCTGGATATATTTTTATTTAATTTTCTTACTTGCCGTGTACTTTTATGAGGCTTTGTGGTATATCAGATTTTAGGTCTATCGGAGGCATTCTATCCTCGTTTTCAGGGGTGAACAACGCATCTGCGTTTTGATCCTTAATCGAGGATAAATGTAGATTTCTATGGGCCACAGCATCCACTTACCAAGAGGTGAACTGAATGTTCGTTTGTCACCCTTATTCCATAAACAAAAATTAATGCCTAGGACTGTCGTGGATATGGTCATTGACTATATATCATTACAGCTCATCACTAATCAACTGCTGAACAAAGGCGTCTCCCATAGATGGCAAATAAGCATGTTAACTAGACACCTGCATCCATTGCTTCTATGTTTCATCAGGTTGTATCTTCAACTAGTGAAACATTGCACTTGCCAGTACGAAGCTGCCACTTCAGGAACTTCTTTTCCTATAATTTATCGGTTCTTTAAGTTAATAGTTCTTAATCAGTAAACTATATGTCCAGTGCACCAGAACCTCAAATCATTGACTACCAGACGCAACAACACAAACTGTTCATCTGTATTGCGACGGCGCACGCACTCCAGATCACTGGAGATTGGCTGTGGCGTACTTTCAGAGATGTGTTGACTGAAATGAGAGGAGGAAACACGGATTCATTGCCTGAGGTAATTTTTTTTAGGATGTGTTCATATTCTTCTTACTAGACTGTAAAAATTTCTGAATTTTGTCCACTTCCAATATTATATGAGGGAGTGATGTTGGAGCTCTCCATTTCGAGAGTTCATTACATATAGAACAACGGATTGCCCCCACCTGCTTCATATCACTGGAAACTACATGTCATTTAATTAATAGAATCGGGCGTTACTTTGCACAAATCCGTTATATTAAAGTTGGTAAGAATTACTTCGCACACATCCGCTCAATAAAATAAAATGATGTGTCTTACCTAGTTTGAAGTGCACCTCACGCCCTTTCTCAATTGCGTACACTAATCCCGTCACCACTAATCCCAGCACCTCTACTCCAAACACCACTACACTAAGGAAAACACATCATCGACGATAATACGACACGTGTTTCGTCTCTACACGAGGCATCCTCAGGTGATGTATACTCTGGGGTGGCTGAACGCCAAGAGCTTAGCGGTCAGGTGAGTGTGCGAAGTAATTCTTACCAACTTTGATAGATCATTATTTAGATGATCATTAGTCGTCGACTAATACAACTAGGTCCAGTACGGTTAAATTCCTTTATGGTTTTACTAGTTGGTAGGACAATTTTGCTTTGCTGTCTAGGAGTCCGTCTGAATAGGTTCCTAGGACTAGTCCTAGGACCTCTGACCTATTTAATGCTGCCATTAAACAGCAGTGTTTGCATTGCCGTATTCCGGTCTAAAGTGTGCAGAGAGCCAGTTTTATAACAGGATGTGAGGCAATACATCTTAGAGATGACAACATATTTCTAGTCTTCAGCATTTGAAGATGGTTGCAGGTGACCATGGGCTGCAGTAGCGATTTACCATCAGATGGATCGTAAGTTCGTTATCATTTACGGTTTTATAAATAAAACATATATTACAATTATTTCAGCATCAAATAGGTACGCGTTGCACACATCATACGCATAATATTTGTTCCCTGACTTTAATAATCTTTATTCTTCAAATTCTACTGCATAAAGCCGTAAGTATCTAAGCCCATAGGTATCTCATTGTAGAAAGAATTGGTCTAAATTACCAGGCTTGGGAGCCGGATTGGACATCGCAGTTCCTTTAACGTGTATCTTTGACGCTGCCCCATGTCGCTGGTCTGGGTGGACTACGCACTTACTGGTGAACCTGTTGGTTATATCGGTGGCGCAATATCTTTCTGGAATTTTTATATCATCATCCCCTTCATGCTACAGCTTTAATGTAACTGCAGCATGGCTCTACCATGTAAATACTCGTAATTCACCAGCCATGAGTGACTTGATAAGCGAATCTTTCCTATTATGGAATGATGTGCATTTCTTGTTTATGATAGATTACTACTTGTACAGTGTGAAAACAATGACGACTTCTAAGAAATTCATTTCTTTACAAACATCAGGTGAACTGTTAGTTCACAATTTAAGTGGCTACTTCAGCACAACGATACCTACAACCAACTTCAATTAAAGAAGGCTACAGATGCGTGGTCACCATTGAGGACTTAGATGGAATTTTTTTCAGTCTGACTTTCTGTTTAGTTTTTATATTACTCTCTATAATTATACTGACTATATACATATAACACAGCAATGCACACACTGCAGCAGAAATAGATGCGAGGGTGATAACTGCCCAGACAGACCCTAGATGAAAACGAGTCCGACCAATTGAAGGTGAAAATTAAGGACGCGTTTGCAAATCAACCGAAATTAGGGTGTTTTTCGGTAGATTTTGTGACAAAACTAAACCAAATCAAATATAAGTAAAAACTACCATGTATAGATTGGTTCTTCATCTGCAAACGTATGTAACTCTTTTGTTGAAAATAGTAGTTTTTTATATTGTAAAAACGAACTTTCGTTGCCATTTTCTACAAAATTAACGATACCGGCTTGAGTTTCGGTACATGTTTTGGTCTATTACCAACATATTCAAAAAAATTAAAAATACTATAAGATGACAGACATATTCAATTAAAAAACTATGTGTTTATTTTTTATCAAAATGTCACAAATAGTCGTAGAAAAAATAAAAACTGATGCACATTTTTTTACATATTTTGCTAATATGGATGAATCATAATCTATTGCAATAAGGGCTATTTTATTGTTGGTGCCTGCTTTGATTTATTGTACAAAGATTTCGATGAAACCACAGTCAGTGTTGCCGTTTTGGCGACTTTCTCGCTAGATCTAACGGATTTTAACAATGTTTAGCGGATAAAAAAATCGTTTTAGTGAGAAATAATTATTTAGCGACTTCTAGCGACATTTGGACTTTTGAGATGGCGACTTTTTTTAAAAAGTAATTCATTTAAGTAATTCATTCAAATAAGTCATTTATCATATGTCCAATTTTGTAATCTACCGTTGGTAACACATACAGTGTTACCTATATAATATAATTTCACGAGAATTCCCGAACATGAACTACCAATTCAATGTCGTTCGAATGAACGAATACTTTCATCTGTTTCGACCTTAGACCATGGTCTCGTTTCGACATACAAAAATGCAACAGAAGTAATAAAAATGCAATAATAATATTATCACTACCACACTCAAATGCAGAATTTGAACGCGTATTTGGTGCTATGAATGTAGTTACAAGAAAACCGCGAAACAAGCTATCAGAAAAAACTTTACTATTCTTCTGATTAGAAATCAGTTAGGGATTTAAAAAAGAATTGCGCAACAAATGATATTCCCGAAGATGTTGTCAACCAAGTCGATAAAGGCAAACCAAAGATGGGAACTGGAGACACTGGCGAAGCTTCAACTTCCGCTGAAGTTGTTTTTGAAGATCTGGATCCATAATTTGCTATTAATTTTGAAATTTAGGTACAAGAACCTACTGAGCTAATTGTTTTATTTTTAATAAGATGACTAATGTTTGAACGTGGATTAAAAATTTAAGATTTTTTTTACAATTTATTTTTTTATTTTGTACATGAATAATTTTTGTTTTGGTTGTCATATTGTGACGACTCAATATTATTATTAATAATTAAATTCAATATAAAGGGACGTCAAAAACAGTCTTAAAAGATATATATTAAACAATAAAATTACATTAATAACCATAAAGTTAATATAAATACATTTCAGACATTAGACCAATAACATAGTAAATTAAAGGCAAAATATTGTCTTCCATAATAAATAAATTTATTAAAAACTTGAAAAAAATATTTAAAATAAGATAATTAATAGAAATACAAGTCGAAAATATTATAAAAATAAAGATAAATAACATTTATAAGATAATTATAAAATTTGTTGAAAATTGTCTAAGTCGTGGAAGGAGTTCGTGTATAAAAGAAATTTCCTAAGTTGTGGAAGGAGTTCACGTATAAAAGAAAAGTTTCCTTAAGTTATGGAAGGTGTTCATGTATAGATGTCTTGTATAGAGGAGCTGCCGGAGATACATACCTGCAGTTGTACATATATATGGGGTGGTCGGGAGCCCGACTGCCTGAAGTACTGTAGCACAATGACTAGTCCTATATTAGGGACTTATGATATTAAGGTCTATGATACAAAAGCAATACTATAGAAGGTCTCCATGATGTCCCTCCATCAAGTCACTCCATCAAGTCCGGTGGTAAGGTCTCATCGTTACTAACAAAACGAACCCAAACTCGGCACACCTAGTTCTACTAGTCTAGGAATTCCAGTTGTAATCCTGAATGGTGGTTGGACCCAAACTCGGCACACCTAGTTCTACTAGTCTAGGAGTTCCAGTTGTAATCACTGAATTACACCTTCAGGTCACTCCATCAAGTCCGGTGGTAAGGTCTCATCATAACCTACAAAACGAACCCAAACTCGGCACACCTAGTTCTACTAGACTAGTAGTTCCAGTTGTAATCACTGAATTACACCTTCAGGTCACTCCATCAAGTCCGGAGGTATGGACTCGTCATAACTAACAAAACGGAGCCCAAATTCGGCACACCTAGTTCTACTCGTTCAGAAATTCCAGCAGTAGGTACTGAATTACACCTTCAGGTCACTCCATCAAGTCTGGTGGTAAGGTCTCATTGTAACTAACAAAACGAACCCAAACTCGGCACACCTAGTTCTACTAGTCTAGGAGTTCCACTTGTAATCACAGAATTACACCTTCAGGTCACTCCATCAAGTCCGGTGGTAAGGTCTCATCATAACCAACAAAACGAACCCAAACTCGGCACACCTAGTTCTACTAGTCTAGGAGTTCCTGTTGTAATCACCGAATTACACCTTCAGGTCACTCCATCAAGTCAGCAGGTAGGTAAGGTCTTATTATAACTGACAAAACCAGTTCAAGTCCAGAGCTAACATCTCACTACCAGTAGAGGGCTTCCAGTGCCAAGCAATCTCTGGAGCAGGTATTCGTATTTCGTATCTAAGTATATTTCTGAGGTATAAGAAATGAAAAACAAATTCAATTTTTCAAATTATCAAAATAATTTCATTTGACTACGATTCCCACAGCCAACCGTGCGGACACTTGAGTCTGTGACTTTTGTCAATGTAGTAGAGCGATTCTATACTCCTATCGATTTTGTAAACGCGTCCTTAAACAAATAAATTATTGCTTCCAGCTTCACGCTTTATCGAGTTGCCTCAAAGCAATCAGCACTTCGGATTCCGCCGCGTACATCGAGCAGTGCCGCTTCGCTTGTGGCGGCCACGGTTACATGTTGTCCTCCAACTTGCCGTTGCTCTACTCCTTCGTTACTGCAACCAGGACGTACGAGGGTGATTACACGGTGTTACTGCTGCAGACGGCCAGGTGAACTATATACTGCATGGAAAATCCAAAACACAAAAATAATTAGTAAGCAAGAGCTACGTAAATGGTCTACAGTCTGCGAATCTAAACAGACCCCGTTAGCTCTGACAGCGCGCGACATGTTATACTCCCGTTCCCTCAGGACCTTAATGGCGGGAAAATTTGTAAGTTAGGAAAATTTTTGCTATATTGCAAATTTTGCTATATTTTCACTTTGAGACAATATTTATGGATAAAACTTACAGGAATTCTTGTTGAATGTATAAACTATCGAATAAAATTATTTTTAGTAGCTAGAAATTGTGATAAAATACATAAATTACCCTGTATAACATAGTAGTAGTATATACTTCAATTTTAGTGACAAAATTACTACTAATTTGAATTCTACACTTTTGTTTTTGGAGAAATTTATATGAAAATGTTTGGAAATATGTATATTTTTATGTTTTATGTGTTTCCATTCGTTACTCATACCAAAATATTAAAATATTAAAAAATTAAAAAATAATAACAATAATATTTTATCTGTGTGACATTTCGAACAATATTTCTAAAATATGTTTGTGTGAATTTGAAATAAATACAACGTCATGTTATTTGAAATATGTAGGAAAACTATTTTTACTTACATTTTACACTAAAAATAAATGAGAATTTGAAAAATAACACATTTATAACCCACCCGCCAAAACGGGCTTTCCGGATTTTGAAGTACTTTTGGCAATTTACTTTTCATTTTTTATACCACAAATTACATATCTACGTGTTTACTATATTACAAGGAATATAAAAAATTATAATACTTTCGTTTTTAGTCCAGACACAAATATAAAATTCTATAAAAAAGACGGAGCACCTTCATCAAAACGACACGTGGAACGCCGAAAGTTCAGAGTAATTTCTTTTTTTTTTTTCTAAGAAACATTGCCAGGTTATGGTTTAAAATAAAAGAGCATATCTTTGTCTTTGATACTATTATCTATTGCATATTGTCTTTGGTTTTGTTTTAAAGGAAAAAATAGTTTTTTCATAAGGCAGTACTTCTGATCCGACCTGATCTAATTCGACCCGTACCCGAGCCGAATTGTATGATCTGATTAGATCGGTAGCCGAGTGAAAGGGGTGTAAGGGGTACCGAAAATATTATTGAAGTTAATAATTTTGAAAAAAGAATAACAGTTTTTTACCCATTACAAAAAGGAGGAGGGGTTGAATTCGACTGTATGTTTTTTTATGTGTGTTACCTCATAACTTTTTCTGGGTGAACGGATTTTGATGATTCTTTTTTTATCTGAAAGCTGGTGCTTCTCCTGTGGTCCCATATAATCAAGATCTGACCGGTAATTCTTGAGTTATCTTTAATAATGCGTATTTAATTGACCTCGAATACATTGATTCGGTCATACTGAAGTCGGTAGTGCAAACATTTTAATTGTACTACTTGTCAATTATACAACAATTGTTTCTTTTGATTATGTCTGAACATCATTCGAATAATCGAAAGCTATATAAAAGATAATATTATTAAGCTAAATCTGTACGCGCTTACAAATAAAATATTCACTCGTTCGAGCTCATCTTAAAGTACTTTTTTATAGAATAAGGTTGACAAGCAAGCACAGTTTACCTGATGGTAAGTGGATGCTGCACTCCAGAGACATCTACATCATTAATTGATTAAAAATGAAAATACGTTGTCACCTCTGAGGACTATGATGAAATATCTCGTTTCCAGTAGTCGTTGGCGGCAGGTCTGCTTCTGGTCTGAAGATCCGTTGAGCTGCGCGGATACCATTACTGATGGAGTATTTCATCCCCTTTGCTAACGTGCCCATTGGTAGTGAAGCTCACCAATGGTTTAACGCCGAGTACGCTCGTGCTGAAAATCACAAGCATATGGCTTACCTACTTATTCTGGGTCGATGCTCAAGACCGCAAAGCTCCGGATGTTGGTAATAAGAAGAGAGCTTTTAACCAAGCCGCCAAGTTCTGCAAAAAGGCATTACGGCAAGCAACCGAATTAAATGCATCGGTGCAAAGCTCTTTGTCAAATTATATGGCAGTAGAGCTTTTTGGTATCTCGCCCAAGCGGTCGAAACAAACTTCTGCCGGTCTTCACTGTCTCCGCTGGTAACACCAGATGGCTGACTAGCGCAAAAAGCAATTCGCGTCTGAACAGTAGCAACAGCGTACCACCTCAATTACCTCACTGTGTCACCGCTATGTCAGAGGTCCGTATCACCAACAAGGAGTATCTTAAAACCTTGCGAAGTCTAGACGTGAACAAAGCTATTTGGCACGCTAGCCTTTTGAGCAAGCTTCCAGCGTACGGCTTATTAACTGGTTAAAGGACTTTCTGAGTGAACGATCTTTCGGAGTCGTCGTCGATGGCAGCTCGTCTAGTCCTATCGCGACAAACGCCGGAGTTCCTCAGGGGTCCGTTCTCTCCGTAACTCTCTTTCGGCTGCATATTTATATATAGTTTTAGGGACGTACCCATCAAATGCGCGGGCGAGTCAAGATCAAATTCAGTCCGAAATAGCAGCTATGGTGAAGCGTACAAATCTCTCACTGCAGGCAGTTTCCGAATGGGGCGAAGCCAATCTTGTAAGATTCAACGCCCCCAAAACACGAGCGTGTTTTTTCACCGCTAAAAGTAGGCCGCTCACCTTGGCTCTACTTCAAACTGGGGCAGCTTATTTCCTTATATAAAATGCAAGTCCGGTCGTGCATGGAGTACTGTTGTAAAATACGGGCTGGTGCTGTAAAATACCAGCAGCGTTAGACTCAGGGGAAAGACGTGCTAAGAAGCTCATTGGTGACCTTGGTCTGGTTGAAGCCAATCTTGGCAGTCTCGAGCACAAACGCAGAGTAGCCAGCTGCTCAGCATTCTGTAGGATGCATATCGATGAGTGTTCGCAGGACGCGCTTTAATATCTCCCTCTCCTTTTCACATCGGAGGCGGTCGGCGGGTCTTCATCCCTTTTTTGCCGATATTCCATACGCATTAAACGTCTATTTTTCCGTCTGAATACAATCTGGGCATATTCAAAGCAAGAGTGAATAGATTTCTTTTACGCCAAGACAGTGTGATTTATCATCTAGAGCTACGTCACCACTTACCACCAGGTAGGATTATGGCCAAACACTGGCTTATAATGAATAAAAAACATTCTCCGGTTCACTACACTCACTATTCACATCCATGGTCACGGGTGGGACTGAGATGTTTGACATCCCAATGTCATAGTTAGTCCGGCTGAAGGTAACTGAAGGTAGCCGGACTAGTTATGACATTGGGACGTCAAACATCTTATTAAAAAACTGAAGGTAGCCGGACTAACTATGACATTGGGACGTCAAACATCTCAGTCCCACCCGTGACCATGGATGCTGTAAAGCACCCGAAAAGTCGGGATAATAATAAAAATAAATTAAAGTAATTAAACGCGATAAAATCCGTAAATAATAGTTTTATTCAATTTTTAATGGTTTTAAATATTAGTTAAAAACTAATTATTGCCAGGTTTTTAGTGAAAGCTTGGGAACAAGTGGAGGCTGGAAAATCTGTAACACCGACCGTGTCTTACTTAACGCTAGCTGCTACCAAAGAAAAGGTGTTATGGAATGATTTCGCTGAAGGAATCATACGGTCCTTCCAGGCTGTTGCGGCAGGGTAATTTATTTTTTATTTATTTATTTAACAATTTTTGTACACACAAGTGAGTGAGAGAACACATGGTGATGAAAAGTTTGTACAAGAGCTCTACATATCTCATAATGAAATTTCTTCCAATAGGCCAGTTACAAAAATATATGATTAATAAATGATTATAAGGTGCACTTTGTTATTATACAACACCTATAGGGATATAATAAATACATACGTCTGCACAAATACTTACATACATATAGAGATACATAAATAACTTCAACTTAAACACACATAAATACATATACACGCATATATATATATATATATATATATATATATATATATATATATATATATATATATATATATATATAATTAATACGGCACACCAACTATACATAACATTGTTACATTACAAGTTAAGTGATTCGTTTATTCCGAGAAGTAAAAGCTCAGGGGATCACCTTAAAATTTCATAGTACTTAAGCAAATGAAGTACTTTGCGGTGTCTATAAATTAGTAAGTTCTAACATATCAATTTACAATTTAAAATACGGTATCTATATATTCAAAACATGTGTATGATAAGTATATATGTTTGGATTTTAGCAAAATTTCGGCGTGCGCTGAAACTATCAAGCGTCACATGAAAACGGGGATGTGTTATGAAGATGCATGGCAACTAACGACAGTGAGATTAGTAGCTGCCGCTGAGGTATTATTTGAAACAATACAAAACCAATAACTTATTTCGAAAAGCAAAAGAAATATATGTGAAAGTCCCTAGCTTAATATAAATATTTTTCATCTTGATAAGCCTTTTAAAAGTCTACTGATGGACCTCCCTCATTGTAAGGACGCCTTAGCTGTCACGCTTGGCAGGTGGATTGGCGATTGAAATACCAGACGTCTCATACCTTTGACTTTGCTGCCAGTCGTCGGTCCGAGTTTTTTAATGGTCTGGTGTAAACGGGATAATTATACCGCCATTTATCGCGTGTAATAAGTTTTTATGGCATATCACATGCTTGACTCTTACGATATCCACAAGACCAAATGCAGTAATAAAATCTTTTACACCTTCAACAGTATACATACTTACAGTAATAATCCTTGTCTGCTTAAGATAATTCTCTTCCCCAAATCGTGGCGTAAGAGGCGACATATTGAAATGAAACAGCAGATAGGTAACAGCATCTTCCTGATTACAGCTTCAAATAATAAAAACTGCGATTGCAAAACCCGTCTGCCAAGCGTGACAACTCTGGTAAATATCCCGTCTATGCGGCAGTCTATGGGGAAGGCCTATGTAGCAGTGGACTTTTGTAAAGCTTGTAATATTGGAAGGTGTCAACGAAGAAGAGACGTGTTAACTTAACTTAAAAAAAGGTTATATGAACTTTATATGAACTTTATATGAACTTTACAATGAAAGGTCATATAATTCTAGCGTCGAATTTAGGGAATATCTAAAAAAATATTCAAAAATATATAAAAGAGCGTGCTCCATAGCCAAGTATTTGTATTTGAGCACAAAATAATGACTGCTTCTAATAAAACTAAAATAACATGGAGTATAAATAATAGTGAAACTGGTAAGGTCAACTCTCGCAATTAAAACTACCAGTTAAGTTTTAACAATAAATTACCTGAATCAGATCAGGGCGTTGCAATGGTTTTTGAGAAATATTTTACAGATATTCCGATCTTAACCACTCAAAAAAGTCACCGAATTTTTTTCCTGCCACCGCCGAATCATTACTTAAATAAAATGTAACGTGTTTAATGAATTTTACACTTCATAAAGTATGATCAAAAGAAATTGTAAAGTATTTTAAAACTATTGATATTAAGAAAACTGTAGATCTGTGTGGAATTGCCGTTAACGTTATTGCGTCTATAATGGATACAATCGAACCTCAACTTGCTAATATTCTAAATACTAGTTTCGAATCTGGTATGTTTACTGATTTAATGAAGCATAGTAAAGTAATACCTTTATTTAAATCAGTACATTGGAACCCGCCAATTTCAGACCTATTTCTGTACTCCGAACAATCAGTAAAAATTTTGAAAAATTATTCTTGATCACATGTTTAAAAAAATAATGTAAATAATTTACTACATAAAAACCAATTCGATTTTACAAGAGATTGCTCGACAACTGATACTAGTGTTGAGCTGATTAAATATACCTTTAATGCATGGAAAAATTCACAGGATGGCTGGGGTATATTATGTGACCTATCCAAAGCCTTCGATTGTGTTCACCATGAAACATTAATCGGGAAACTTCAACACTACAGTTTAAGAAGTAATCTGAAATTAATTATTTCATATTTAAGTAGCAGAATGCAAAAAGTTGTCATTAATAATTTGAATTCTTCAGGGTCGATACTACAAATGGGCATGCCTCATGGCTCAATTCTTGGTCCCTTTTTGTTTCTTGTATATATTAATGACTTACCTTACATAGTAGGCGATAACCAAGATATAGTATTATTTGCTAATGACACATCATTAATTTTCAAATTAAAACGACAGTTACTAAATTATGACGAAGAAAATAGTGCTCTATCTAAATTGTGTGCATTAAACTGGCACTAAAACTAAATGTATAAAATTCATAACTCCGAATGTCAAATATGTTAGGAGGTAATATAGTAATTTTAAATAGGGAGGAGCTGACTCTTGTTGATACTACCATTTTTCTTGGAATCACACTAGACGCAAAGTTTAAATGGGGCCCCCTTATATCAAAACTAGCAAGTAGACTTAGTTATGTGTTGAAACAGATAGACTAGTTTACTTTAGCTGTTTCCATAACATGATGTCGTATTGTATTTTGCTATGGGGACACGCAAAACTTAAACACACTGAAATTAAATTTGTTTTACAGAAGAGTGCTATTAGAGCAATATATGATTTAAAACGTAAAGAGTCGCTCAGACAAAAATTTTAAGAAATTCATATATCAACTTTGGCCTCTCAATACATTTAGATATTGTAATGTACTACATTTACTACACAAAAATAAAAGTAGTTTTGCAAAAATAAGTGATATTCACAAGCAACAGCACAGCAGTAGTACAAACAGTAGTACCAGTTACTCGACTCCATCGAGTAAGTAATTCATTCTTGGGGCGATGTATACGCTTTTACAACAAAATTCCAAAAAATAAACAAAATTTGACAAACACAAAGTTCAAAAACTTTATTAAACTAATTTTGTATAAAAAGGGTTATAATATTAAGGAATTTATGGATGATAATAACTCCTGGGAAGGGTGATCGCTACTAAGCTATTTCTAATTTGTATTGTGTTGTTAATTGTAAAACATACATGATTGTAAGCTCTTATTTATAAAAAAAATTGTCTCGGTGGTTTTCTTGCTGATTCTTCCCTGGACAGATGTTTTTATGCGAACCAGTGTCAATGAAAAAAAAGTGACTTTCAATAAGTATTATTTAAAAATTATTGAAAAAAAAATTTTGTTTCTGTTTCGTAGAACTTAACTCATATAATATATACCCACACATGTATACATATACATATATATAGAGTCGTTGAAGCTATACTACACTACAAGATGTAATGAATGAATGTTGTTCAGGCATTAAAAGTATACAAATTTAAATAGAAATTTATTATATTTAGCAAAGAAATTATGCAACACAAATATTTTATATGGAGTTACAAAAAAATGCAATGAAGTTATAAGTATATTTATTTTATGTACATAGTTTAAAATATACATAAAATTACAAAATCGATGCAGGTTTTAATATTTTTCAGTTTTGAGATTCGACAAAATAGTATCATAATATAATGTCAAAAAATATTATAGTGAATGATCCTCACAGTTATTTTATTAAACGTATTTGCCGTTTCAGTCCCACTGTCGATCGGTGATATGCCAAACGTACTGGAATGAGATCGCACGGTTGACCGCATCATGCAGCGCTAACGTCAAGATAGTGATGGAGCAGCTCGTTACTCTCTACCTTGTATATTGGGCATTGGAGAGATCGGGGGACCTCTTGAGGGTAAAATGTTTAAATTTACACAATTTTGTACCTTATCATTTTAAGATAATATTTTTGCGTGAGGTGATAAAGTGAAGATTTTTCATTTTCCCCTTCTCACTACGAAGTTATTTGACAGCTAGGTACTAACCAGTACTAAGTACTATTAAAGTTTGGGTTCTGGACTTTTTCTGAGGTTATCATCATCAGTACCCTTTTATTTAGCTTGCTATCTTTTAGGCCGTGAGCCTTGCGTTTGATGAAGCTATAAAAGCCAACTGTTTATGTACTTATTTACATAACAATAGTATAAAGTTCATACCTACGGACAGTCCGATTTCCACTAAAGTCATTAGGTCGCTTATCTTGTTTGTCGTGATTCTATTCTTAGTGACCATCCTATTGAAATCATTCAATCCGTTATCTCGTATTTATTTAATTTTAACTGCTTTTACCGACTTTAAAAATGAGGAGGTATTCTAATCGACTGTTTTTTTTAATGTGTTTTACCTCAAAACTTTTCGCTGGGTGAACCGATGTTGATTTTTTTTTGTTAATTAAGATCTGACTAATAGTTTTTGAGTTATCCTATTAAGGCCTATTTAATTGACTTTTGTTCTCATTTTAATTATATTGAAATCAGTTGCACAAAATTTTTAATTTTACCACTTGTATATTTAAAAAAAAATTACAGATTATGTCGTACTACTTATATTTAAATAAATTTTAGAATTAATTTCCGACAGGTATACATTTTTACCAATAACATTTCTATAAACGTTCAACAAATACCTAATTACTCTTATTTTGTTATTATTTCAGTATTCCACTATATCTGAAAAAGATCTCAACCGTCTACAGGATAGATATGAAGAGTTGCTGGCTTTGATAAGGCCAAATGCGGTGGGCTTGGTTGACGCATTCGATTTTAGGGATGAGGTTTGTGAATGTATTAGATTTATACGAGAAAAAAATAAACACCAAAGCTCTCAAGTTATGCAACAGGATGTGTCCTAAATTAAATCGTATTTTTTATTTTATAGAAAAAGAGTGAACGGGTAAACAGTCCACATGATGGTAAGTGGATGCAGTGACCCATAGATACATATATCTTCGATTAGGAATCAAAACGCATATGCGTTGTCATCCCTGAGGACTAAGATAAAATGGCTCATTTCCAGTAAAAAAAGGTTTTCGATTCTGTATACTCACCGTACAAAACGCGGCAGCATTAATTTGCGTTTTTACGCCGGTATTGTGAGAGAGCGTGTTTCATCTCCGGTCGAGCCGACGATTCGTGCCACAACTACTCGTAGCTGCAGCATGGCTCTACCACGTAAAGAGTGTTTACCTCATGGCTGTGATACTGATGCTGCAATCCATTCATTCATCAACGAGAGCTTATAAAAGCCCACTACTAAACATAGGCCTTTTCTTTTTCTTCTTTTCTCTTTTGCCTGACAGAGAAGAATTTGACATAATAGCAATGCTTGTGTAACGCAAATCGGCACCGTCTTTTAAATTTGTAAAAGAATATAAATTTACGCGAACATGCTAATAAAATATTCACATTTCCTAAGATTCTTTCTAGAGGTTTACTTATAAATAGGCCGTTTGTAATATTTATAGCGTGATCGTCTTAGTTAGGACCCTTATTTACGTCGTATTTGCTTAGTAACTTAGTTCTTTTAGGTGTCTCTTGGAAGAATGAATACTGAATAGCAATTAAAAGCCGTTGGTGATGCCTTATAACAACTTTTAACTAAAGAACCCCTTTCACGATGAAAGAGCTCAAAAAGGTTAAATAACATTATGGTCATCCTTATTAATTAAACCTGTGACTGTAGAAGGAAAAGGGGAGATCTCCCGCCGGGCAAGGTGTTCTGCCCGGGGAGCGGCCAACGCTCCGTGTGATAGTTCGGAGATGTTCTAATATATACTGTTTATGGCTAGGAATTTTTGATAGCGTGATTTAGGCTTCGGTGTGTTTCGCTTGCTGCGCGACGACAGCGCCGCCACATCACCCCCTGACCACATCCTTTACGAATGTGCAAGTGCCAGGAGATTGCCTTGTAGTCTGCGGTGAGTCGAGAAGGAGGCAAGTAATCTGTGAGAGTGCCGTGAAGCAGAGGCGAGCAGTAAGACTCAGAGCCGTGCCGAACACTGTATAGCGCAGAGAGTAGCATGAAGGAACAGAAAGCATTATTATTCCAGTGTTGCGACGAACCTTGTGAAGCTAGATGGCTTGCAGGATATGAAGACTGCAGACGATATCTGCTCGGGAGCGAATGGGTGGGGTACTCTATGATGATGATGAAGCTTGAAGTTTCCGAAGGTCTAGTTAGCTGCGTGTTCAGATTACGTCGGGGTCACCACTGTGGCCGTAGAAGGAAAAGGGGAGATCTCCCGCCGGGCAGGGTGTTCTGCCCGGGGAGCGGCCAACGCTCCGTGTGGTAGTTTGGAGATGTTCTATATATACTGTTTATGGTTTGGAATTTTTGATAGCGTGATTTAGGCTTCGGTGTGTTTCGCTTGCGGCGCGACGTACAGCGCCGCCACAAACCCTTCCCACATCCTAGCAAAAAGCTCACAATATTTTCATTATAGACACACGAACCCGCACAGGCCAGCGCCATGTTCGGTGAGCGCCTACCAAACAACACAGGCCCCAGAAAAGAGACGAGAAGTTGGCGATTGCACCGTAGTCCAAAGCAAAATAATTGGCGAACCAGTAAAAAGGGCTTGGTCCCGTGGTAGTGTGTAAACACAAGCATCGACCGAAGTCACACATGTAAATGCGTGTAAATGTACGTCTTACGTGTAAACGCCATAAAGAATAATAATAATAAAATAGACACACTGACCATAAAGAGCCCTTCGTACGTGATGGAAGTATATGGCATCATTACCAATTGCATGGTCAGCACGGCTACTAGCCGCAGAGCGTGTCATGAGTCTCCCGCTCACCTCAAGGGAATGGGATCCCACGTTGCGCCTCTTTCTGCGGCAGCCTTGAGAGTCTCCTCCGTTAGTTCTTAATTTTAGTTGATATCAGGAAAGATGCTGTTGCCAATCTGCATCTCCTATCCTAGTTTCGCTCTGTCCCCACTCACGACAACCACGGGACGATATGTTAGTGGATATTGTTATATCACCACTACACAGTTTACATGCTGCTATCACTTACAGGTTATCCCATCATGCACCTATAGGATTTGTCGAAGCTGGTTAAGTAATACTTATCTCAACCGATTTGAAATAGCAACGTATGCAATAGATTTCAAATTTTGATAGGATTCTAAATAATTACCACGATTATGAGATATATTTATTTATCGAATGATTTTTTTATCCAATGAAAATTTTCAAAGAAGTAATTATATTTTTTTTATGTTTACAGATCTTACAATCAACTTTGGGTGCGTATGACGGTCGAGTCTACGAGCGCTTAATGGAAGAAGCTCTAAAGAGTCCACTCAACGACGAACCTGTCAAAGCAAGCTTTCACAAATACATCAAGCCACTGACCAAGGGAAAACTGTGATAAATGCACATTTGGGAATCAAAATAATTTTTGTCTATGTTTGATAAATCCTCTATAATATGATATTGTAAATGCTACAACATGTTTTTGATTTTATTATATTATGATCCAGTATAATTTCGGGCTATAAATGATTGCCATGCAATCTTGGTCCACAAATGTGCACGTTAAATGAACACGTTATAGCGTGTATGATTTTTGTGTCCAGTATTTATCTGTATGAATATCTTAAATTTTCATATTATTTTTATAATGAGTACCCGGTTGAGCGAGCTTTGCTCGGTATTTTTCGCTCGTTTTTTTTTTTAATTCGTGTGTTTTGGAAATTGTATTTAGATACAAATTACATACTGATGAAATACGAATAATATTTTTTGATCGTAGCGACATAATAGAAAAAACTGAACTGGTTATTTGAATAAAAAATCATGAGTGCAATTAGTTTAATTTAAATTTTCGTGTTTTTAAAAAATACTAAAAAAAGGGCACGAAAAAAATAGATTTTCTCAAAAAAGAAAGGAACTTGAAAAAAAAAATTAAAAAAAGTCGGTTGGTCGGTTTGGGCTCGAACCATGGTATTAAGATTTTGTGACAGCCCAATATACCAATTAAGCTATTTGTAATCATTAATAAACTGTCAAAATTTACCTTCTTATTCTAACGATATTGTAGCCGTTTTTCATTGCCTAAAAACACGGACAAAAAGATATTTTCTAAAAATAAATCCTAGTTAGATCGATTTATTGCCCACGAAACTCCCTGCACACAAATATTTTATGAAAATCGTTGGAGCCGTTTCCGAGATTCCGATTATATATATACAAGAATTGCTCGTTAAAGGTATAGGATATCATTTATATAATTATATCATGGTTATAATATTATTTGTAATTTACAACAAATACATTCTATTGAATGTAAATTATTCCTGTGAATATCATTTAGTTTGGATGGGGTTATGTAAATCTAGTGTTTTTAATAAAGCGTCAGTACGTAACCTTGTTTTTTTTTTCTTTTTGCTTTGGTACCTTTAAAATCAAAATGATGAACTATTTCGACACCTAGCCATTACTAAGACTAACAACATAATACTAACAATTAAATGTTTTTTTTTAACTAAAGACACCAAAGATTATTTCAATAGTAATAATAATATAATATTATTATTATCATCTGATTACTGTCCATCCCGCTTCTTTTTATCGATCTTTACAAAACTTAATAGTCCACTTCTGGACGAAAGCGTCTCCCATACTAGAGAAGAAAGGAATCATTTACTTATTATCGGTCATTCATCTCAGTATTAAGTAAAACTTGATGGTCAGGTAGTTTTAAACGACTTCAGAAAGGAAGAGGTACTCAATTCGATTGTATGTTTTTTATGTATGTTACGTAGGTCACTCAATAAGTTTTGAGATGCAAAAATATTCCCATCTTTTTAGGATAAATGAATACCGCGATTAATAACCATAAATAAAGATATATTTTTTTTACAAATGCGTATTGTTGGGCGTTCCATGGCCGAAAATGGGCATCTCCCTTTTTAACATGGAACGCACCCGTGTTATATGTTTCTAAAAATAAAATATATTTAAAAATAGAACTCCATAAGCCATTTGCTTAATATTAAAAAAAAAAAAGTTCTATTAATTTTCCTGCAACGCTTCCCTTCATTTAAAACGATGGATCTTAATCGTAAACTTAGCGCGCTATGATCTATTACGATTTTAAATTTGGTTTAATCGGACAATTAAGTTTACAACGGTTACAATCAGAATTAGGGTACTCAGCTCCATTAATAATAATAATAATAATAATAATAACGGCGTAGGGAAGTGACGACCCCATCGCCCGCTGACGTAACAGTTATGTGACAAAACTGCTACGTCGGCGCAGTCAGTCAGCATCCTGCCAAGAGGTGTGAGCGCCGTGCCTAGGCAAAATTGTAGGTGCAAAGGTCCGTTTGTGCATATGACCCAACCACGAAACGGTGCCGGGTTTGGGCGTCTCCCGTTATTTGGCGCCCATAAAATGGATGATGGCACAAAGAGGAACGCGCATAGGGCCGCTGCCTGGGGGTCGCCGGGGCGCGTCTGGAGCTGGCGCTGGACGCGGCAGCATGCGGGCCGCCAGCCGAGCGCGAGGAGCTGCACGATCACCTAGCAGCCCCTCGCATCCATCATCCCCACCAGAAGGCTTGGTGTCGGCTGGGTCTTCTCGGACTCAGCAAGCGGCACCCGCCGCTGGTGGAGCACGTCGCATGCGTTGGACAAAACCTATGAATGAAAACGCATTGCGGGCGTACTATAGGGCGAAAGGGGAAGAAACTGTGGGAATAGCGTATAGGTCTCGGATGCATTGCTTTTTTGCTGAGCTGGAGCCTTCTACCCCCGTCACGGAACAAAACCTGGCAGACCGAGTTCGGTACATCATGCGCTCGAAAATATTTGATGATGCCGAACTCGGAACGACTACGACGTGAGGCTATTCCGTCGTCGAGTGAATCGGCTATGGCTGGAGATGCGGCTCCACATTCGACAGACCAGCATCCACACGTGGAAGCCGCCCTGGATCTTCCCGTTGTGGTTGATTCGAACGACGATGAAATAGTCTCCCACGAACTAGAGAAAATGAGGAGTATACTGGAAGAGGCGATTTTGGAAACGCGCAGCACCCCTATCGAAAATCGACCGCGACTTCCCCCGCATACCCCTAAGCAAGCGAAATCGGGCTGTCGTGAGGGCTCTTAACCCAATGCTGGTGACCTATTTGGAAGCCAGCCGGGACCTTTGCGAGACGGACTCAATTCTCTTTGGCGCCGCAGTGGCAGTTTGCCGTATTATTGGCGCCAAACTTCCCATGGCTGGACGCGCTACTACACAAAGTAGCGCCATCCCAGCCTGGAGAAAAAGAATCGAGGACCGTATCGCAAAGGCAAGGGCCCTTATCGGCAGACTGACAAGCTTCAGGTCGGGTAATAATAGACCGAGGATTATGCGCACCGTTAGGATGGCGTTTGCTGGGACAAATATCAGTTTGTCCCAGCCGGATATCACGCAGAAACTAACGGAGCGCATAGACGACCTGAAGCAAAAGATCGCTGCTTGGGGGAAGCGGATTCGACGATTTACCGACAGGTCAAGGCGGTTCAACCAGAATCGTCTCTTCCAGAGTGATCAGAAGAGGCTCTATAAATCATTGGAGCGGCCAAAGGTATGTGGAGCGGGCCAAGGACCGGATCAGGCAGACATTATCGCATTCTGGCGTGGCCTGTGGTCAGAGCCCGTAAACCACAGCGAGGGCCCTTGGATGGAAGTTGTGGCGAGCCAGGGTGCGAGTGTTACGCCTATGGACCCCATCACCGTAACGCCGGAAGACGTGGCTGAGGCGGTCCGTAGGGCCCCGAACTGGAAAAGTCCGGGGCTCGACGGGCTGCATCATTACTGGCTGAAGGGGTTCATAGTGTGTCACGCTGTGCTCGCCCGACAGTTTCAAGAGGCTCTCGACCAGAAGTCGCTCCCGAGCCTCTTCACTACTGGGATCACTCACTTGGTTCCTAAAGATCAGGATACCACAGACCCGAGCAAATACCGCCCCATCACGTGTCTACCCACCATATATAAGACACTGACATCCATTTTGAGCGCGAGAATCACTCGGCACCTGGAGCTAAACCAGTTGATGTCACGCGCTCAAAATGGATGTCGGGGCGGTGGTCGTGGAACCAAGGAACCACTCCTCATTGACGCGGTCATTGGCAAAGTGGTGAAACGCAACCGTCGGAACTTCTCTGCCGCCTGGATAGACTATAGAAAGGCATTCGACTCGGTGCCCCATACATGGCTAAAGAGGGTCCTCGAGCTGTACAAGATTGACTGTACAGTTAGAGACTTCCTCGAGCAGTGTATGGGGCAGTGGAGTACGATCCTTTGTCATCTGGGCGAGCGGATGATGGCTGCGGAGAACCACATAAGGATAAGAAGGGGTATCTTCCAGGGCGATTGTCTGAGTCCAATCTGGTTCTGCCTCTCTCTAAACCCTCTCAGTACCTTACTGGAGGGCTCCGGGAGGGGATTTCAGCTACGGAGAGGAGGGACAAAAGTGACCCACCTTTTCTATATGGATGACCTCAAGTTATTCGCCTCCAGTCGCTCCCATCTTATGGAACTGCTAAACATCACTTGTGAATTTAGCAGTTCCATTGGAATGGAGCTGGGGACGGATAAGTGTGCGGTCCTCCATGTTGAGAGGGGAAGGGTTGCTAACTCTGAGGGCATAGACTTGTCTATGCCCGTCAACTTAAGGACCCTTTCCGAGGCTGAAACATACCGATACCTGGGTATGTCACAGAACATCGGTATCGATGAGGCTGGTATGAAACAGTCAGTTTGCGACGTGTTTTATGCACGCTTGACCAAAGTGCTTAACAGCCTTTTGTCCGGTGTGAATAAGTCACACGCATATAATTGCTGGGTCATGCCTGTCCTCATGTATACCTTTGGCATACTCAGGTGGACTCAGACTGAGCTTAACGCCCTGGATAGAAAAGTCCGCACTACCATGACGTCCCATAGGATGCATCATCCGAGATCGTCGGTAATGAGGCTGTACTTGCCGCGAAAGCATGGTGGGCGTGGCTTTCTGAGCGCGCTCACCATGCATAATCGCGAAGTGTGCAGTCTCCGTCAATACTTCTTGACGAGATCGGATGATCCATTCTATAATGACGTCATTTCTAGTGATAAAGGGCTTACCCCTCTATCCTTAGCCAACGAGCAATGGCAGGACCCGGCAGTGCTTAGCATTCCCGACCGGGAGACCGTATGGAAGGAGAAGGAGCTCCACGGGAGGTACTACAAGGCTCTACATGAGCCCTTCGTAGATACAGTCGCCTCCCTCAACTGGCTACGTTTCGGTGACCTTTTCGGGGAAACCGAGGGTTTTGTCTGTGCAATACAAGATCAGGTTATTAAGACCAACAACTATCGGAGATACATCCTAAAGGATGGCACCGTCGACGTCTGTCGAGCTTGTCGCCATCCCGGGGAGTCACTTAGGCATGTCATCCCGGTTGTTCGGCGCTTTCTAACTCTGAGTACTTGCACAGGCACAACCTAGTAGCCAGAATTCTACACCAGGAGCTCGCTCTGAAATACGGTCTCGTGGACCGGAAAGTGCCGTATTACAAGTACTTGCCGGAAGCCGTGCTCGAAAATGACCGCGCCAGGCTCTACTGGGACCGGGCTATCATCACAGACAGGACTATTCTTGCGAATAAACCTGATATTGTGCTGATGGACCGGGCACAGTCAAGAATATTTTTGGTCGATATTACCATCCCGTATGACGAGAACCTCGTGAAAGCCGAAACAGATAAGCAATCAAAGTATCTGGACCTGGCTCACGAGGTGACCGACATGTGGGGTGGTATGCCGACCGAAATTATTCCTGTAGTCGTCTCTGCGAATGGGCTAATCCCAGTTAGCCTCTCTGGTCATCTGAGGCGACTGGGACTCCGTGACGGACCGCTCCGGGCTCAAATGCAGAAGGCGGTGCTCCTTGATACTGCCCGCATCGTCCGCGGGTTTCTTTCCCTTTCCCCCTAACCCTCGGCCGTTTGGTCTCCTCTGCCGAGGGCTTCCATCTGGTTGGGCTTTTATTTATTTATGTATTTTTGTATTTATTTTATTTTATTAATATTTATGTATATTTATCTTTTCATTTTCATTTATAATTATATATTTATACATCCCAACCAGATGAGAAAACTATATAGATACCCCACATAATAATAATAATAATGGTGGAAGAAACTGCAGGGATAGCGTATCGGGCTCGGATGCATTGCTTTTTTGCTGAGCTGGATCCGTCTATTCCCGTCACGAAACAAAACCTGGCAGACCGAGTTCGGTACATCATGCGCTCGAAAATATTTGATGATGCCGAGCTCGAACGACTTCGACGTGAGGCAATTCCCTTATCAATTGAATTGGCTATGGTTGGAGATGCGGCTCCTCAGGCGACAAACCAGCCGCCACGCGTAGAAGTCGCCATGGATCTTCCAGTTGTGGTTGATTCGGACGATGATGAAATGGTCTCCCACGAACTAGAGCAAATGAGGAGTATATTGGAAGAGGCGATTTTGGAAACGCGCAGCATGCCTCTCGAAAATCGACCGCGACTTCCCCGCATACCCCTAAGCAAGCGAAATCGGGCTGTCATGAGGGCTCTTAACCCAATGCTGGTAACCTATTTGGAAGCCAGCCGGGACCTTTGCGAGAGGGACTCAGTTCTTTTTGGCGCCGCAGTGGCAGCTTGCCGTATTATTGGCGCCAAACTTCCCATGGCTGGACGCGCTACTAAACAAAGTAGCGCCATCCCAGCTTGGAGAAAAAGAATTGAGGACCGTATCGCAAAGGCAAGGGCCCTTATCGGCAGACTGACAAGCTTCAGGTCGGGTAATAATCTATTATTACCCGACCTGACCGTACCGAGGGTTGTGCGCACCGTTAGAATGGCGTTTGTTGGGACAAATATCAGTTTGTCCCAGCCGGATATCACGCAGAAACTAACGGAGCGCATAGACGACCTGAAGCAAAAGATCGCTGCTTGTGGGAAGCGGATTCGCCGATTTACCGAGAGGTCAAGGCGGTTCAACCAGAATCGTCTCTTCCAGAGTGATGAGAAGAGGCTCTACAAATCATTAGAGCGACCAGAGGTATGTGGAGCGGGCCCAGGGCCGGATCAGGCTAACACTATCGCATTTTGGCGTGGCCTGTGGTCAGAGCCCGTAAACCACAGCGAGGGCCCTTGGACGGAAGTTGTGGCGAGTCAGTGTGCGAGTATTATGCCCATGGACCCCGTCATCATAACGCCGAATGACGTAGCTGATGCAGTCCGTAGAGCCCCGAACTGGAAAAGTCCGGGGCTCGACGGGCTGCATCACTACTGGCTGAAGGGGTTCGTGGTGTGTCACGCTGTGCTCGCCTCGCTCAGTTTCAAGAGGCTCTCAACCAGAAGTCGCTCCCCAGCCTCTTCACTACTGGGATCACTATTCGGTTCCTAAAGACCAGGTTACCACAGACCCGAGCAAATACCGCCCCATTACGTGTCTACCCACCATATATAAGACACTGACATCCATTTTGGGTGCGAGAATCACTCGTCACCCGGAGCTAAATCAGGTGATGTCACGCGCTCAAAATGGATGTCGGGGCGGTGGTCGTGGAACTAAGGAACCACTCCTCATTGACGCGGTCATTGGCAAAGTGGTGAAACGCAACCGTCGGAACTTCTCCGCCGCCTGGATAGACTACAGAAAGGCATTCGACTCGGTGCCCCATACATGGCTAAAGAGAGTCCTCGAGCTATACAAGATAGACTGTACGGTGAGAGACTTCCTCGAGCAGTGTATGGGGCAGTGGAGTACGATCCTTTGTCATCTGGGTGAGCGGATGATGGCTGCGGAGAACCACATAAGGATAAGAAGGGGTATCTTCCAGGTCGATTGTCTGAGTCAAATCTGGTTCTGCCTCTCTCTGAACCCTCTCAGTACCTTACTGGAGGGATCCGGGAGGGGATTTCAGCTACGGAAAGGAGGGACAAAAGTGACCCACCTTTTCTATATGGATGACCTCAAGTTATTCGCCTCTAGTCGCTCCCATCTTATGGAATTGCTAAAAATCACTTGTGAATTTAGCAATTCCATTGGAATGAAGCTGGGGACGGATAAGTCTGCGGTCCACCATGTTGAAAGGGGAAGGGTTGCTAACTCTGAGGTAGGTAACTCTGAAGTTATATATAGATTTATCTTATAACACTTTTTAGGGCGTTACTCACCGGCTACGGTCATTGGAGAGTTAAGAGACTCGAGTATCAAAATAAAAGTATCCCAGGGCGCCTGTGGTTGGATGATTAGTAAATGAAAATTCAAAGATACATATACAGACAAAAGGTAGTTTATTTCCTTCTAAAGTTCATACGGATAGCTCCAAATATCAAGTTGTCACTTTAAAATACCCTGGGAACTGAGGTTTTTGACTAACCTGGTGGATTACACAATATTACATTGTTTATGGTCAATCCCGCGAAGCAGTGAGGTAACAGATATCCTCCAGGTGTACTCCGGTCGCGGTCTCCAGGCCGCCCAGTCCCAATATAGCCACCAGTTGAAGCTGCCTCGCCTCGTTCACACAGTTAAACTTGATAATGGACTATACTCAAAGTCCTTACTTTGAGTATAGTCCATTATCAAGTTTAACTAGTCCTTACTAAGGATCAAATTTATGGGATGATGTGATTCAACACATTAAACTGCCTGTAGACATTGTGTTTAAGGGGCCGTACGCCCAAGTACTCGTCACTTTAAATTCATGTTCCGGCGTTTCGATTCAAAAATTATATATGTGCGTGTCCGATCATTACAACGTCTCGCTCCAAAAAAGACTAGAGTGACTAGACCTCCCTTGGGCTACGCGGCACCGTCGATCCGTGGTAGGATTTCGAACTAACACGAAAGGTCAATTGCATGCAATTAGCTAGCTCGATTCGTCAATATACGTTTCTAGTTACTTCGGACTAATGACGTTAGATGGCGTACTGATGTCCGTTCATCGAATGTAATAACATAAATATGCTAAAATGAAGTACACGAAAATTTTCGTGTTACACATCCCCTTTGCTTGGGTTAAAAAGTTCTTCGTAATGAAGATACTTTTTCCGAAGACATCTCGTGCCACCTGCAGAACAACGCCTGAATACCAAAGACAGTGAAGAAGTTGTAATGTGTCTCTAATCCAATTTCACTAAAAATATTCGCACGTTCGTCCATGCACAACACAAGTACCAAGCCATCACTTAATCACTTAATTACGACGTTTAATCTTACACAAGGCTCATTATTACTCTACTTATTACCTAATTTTCATTTCTGTATCTGTATACCTAGTAACATTATATTCCACTAAACAATTTAACCTCAAAATGTAATTACTTACCTACTTGTGTTGTTGACACAAAAAAAAAATTACCTATTTGTGATGTAATTTAGAAAATACTACACTAATTGTTATACCTATATTAATCTAATGGCATGCAACTTTATTTACATTTATTCCTACATTTTTTTGATAGTAAAATACAACTACCTATGAATAATTACGTTCCCGAATCCTACGCGGGAATAGTCTATTACCATTCATGCGGTGCGTGACGTAACATCACGGGACAGAAACGAATACCTACAGTGCACTAAGCCTACACACGATGTTTACGTTTCGACTTGCCTTTTCTCTAAGTAGTCGAAAAAGGAACGTGTTCTTGTTTATTAAGTTGAGTAGTTAAGTGATTTGGAAATCAAATTAAGTATTAAGTTAAGTTAAATATCTATCTCGCATTAAGTTAAGTGAATTAACGTTTAATCATATTAAGTTAAAAGAAACGGCTTAAGTAATGCTACGCACTGCCTGGTAGGCATTTTCTTATAAAATGTCCAGAGTGCGGGCATAAAAGAACAAGTTCTTATCTAACTCGCGCCGATGTTCACAACATAAGGTGACCTACTAGTTATGTATCGCTCGTTCATCAATACAATCACAGCTTATTTATCTCAGAAAGTTCACCGGTGGAAATAAATTTTGAAAATGTTTATTATTCTTACATTCTTTCACTCAATCATACTCTTCACTCACATTCTACAAAACTATTAGTCATATTGTTTAAGGATGTCTTTTATGTGAAAATTACCTAGTGTCTTACCTTCCATGCTGGCTAAGGTATACACTAAAGGTGATAATTTCGCTGTTATCATACATTTTTGAAATTTTGGTGCTAGTTTAGCCGTAAATCTCTTTAAGGCATTAGATAGGTAATGGGTACGTTTATATACAATCTGACCTACTTTTAACTCAACATGTCGTTTTCTTAAGTTATAGTACTTTTCATTTCTAGAATGAGCATTTTTAATATGCTTTTGTACCTTTTTAAATATGGTGTCTGTTAATTCCGCTAATTTTTTACTGTATGCTTGTGGTTCACCGAGAGTTACTTGAGATCTTTGAACTGGCTGAGTGCTATCTAAGCTGTGTAACATTCCATCTATTATGAATTCCCGTCCGTGCACAAGAAAATACGGAGTAAACTTAGTGGTATCATTCACGGCTGAATTAAGTGCGCATTGCAACTGTGGGATGTTCTCGTCCCATCGTTTATGCTCGGTACCTACACAACATGATATACCGTTAACTACGTTCTAATCGCTCTTTCGGCTTCGATTTACCTGTGGGTGATAACGCGGGTTATAATAGATATTCGGTACGTTATATTTATGTAACAGTTGCCTAAACTGATTAGACACATACTGTGGGCCATTGTCAATATAGATAGTCTTACATACGCCATGTACTAGGAACACTTTCTCTTCTATGAACTTAGCGACCGCAGCGCCTGCTGCGGTCCGTATAGGATGCAACATGACATACTCGTCTGCTAAAATAGTCTGTACATACAATTAAGTTAATATTCCTATTGCGAGAAACCGGAAATGGGCCTAGCAAATCGCAACATATGGCCTCCCAGGGTTTGTTAACCTTCTTCGGGTTTCCCATTAAACCAGGTCTAGCCGTGTTGACGGGTTTGTATTGTTTACATATCTCGCATTTTTTAACATATTCTTTCACATCTCGGTACATGCAGGGCCAGTAGACTAAATTAAGACTAAGACGCTTGTGGGTTTTAAAGACACCCAAATGAGCACTAACTGGTTCATCATGACATTTCTTTAAAATACCTAACCTGTCTTCCTCGGGTACCACTAACTTCCAATTAAACTCATTCGTTAACTCATATTTATTTTTAGAGTACCTAAGCAATCTATCGTCTTTTACCGTGAAGTGGGGATATTTGCGAGGGTTGGCCTGACAATCTTCGTATACATGTCATGTCGTTAGTGCGTCTGGAATAACATTTAATTTACCTTTTCTGTGTTCTATTTCGAAATCAAATTGACTCAATCGCATGCTCCACCTGGCTAAGCGACCTGATGGGTTATTTAATTTATAAAACCATAATAACGAGGCGTGGTCGGTTATTATTTTACACTTTGTACCTTCTACATAAGATCTAAATTGCTCTAATGCGTAAATCACGGCCATAAGTTCTCTCTCCGATGTGGAAAAATTAATTTCATTTTTGGCAAGAGACCGACTGCAGTATGCTATGGGATGTTCTACCCCGTCATAAGTCTGGGTTAAGACTCCGCCCACAGCCACTGAGGAAGCGTCACAGTGGATAGAAAAAGGCAAATCAAAGTTTGGACATTTAAGTATCGGAGCAGACACTAAAGCGCTTTTTAAGTGGTGACTCATCTGTCTCCGTAGTCCATTCAAAGCGGACATTTTTGCTAGTTAATTTATTCAACGGTTTACTAATTTTCGAAAAATTGTTAATGAACCTTCTGTACCAGCCTGCCATGCCTAGAAACCTTTTAACCTCTTTAGTGGAAGTTGGAGTTGGATAATTCAATATAATATCTACCTTTCCCGGATCAGTTCTAAGTCCATGTTTGTCAACTAAATATCCCAAGTACTTAAGTTCTCTACGACAAAAGATAGACTTATCCATGTTTATAGTCAAGTTTGCGTCCCTGAGTTTTGCGTAGACCTTATGCAAAGAGCTGCACATGTTCCGAGAAAGTGCTGGATATTATGATTATGTCATCTTGGAAACAGAATACTTTGTTACTAAATTCGGGACCAAATAGCCTATCCATTAATCTTTGCATTGTGCTTGACGCGGAAACAAGGCCAAACGACATTACATTGAATCTAAATAACCCCCGGCGTGGCACTGTGAACGCGGTCTTATCAGCTGATTGCTCGCTATCATAGGGTATTTGCCAATACGCAGCGGAAAGATCTATTGACGTTAGGTATTTCGCGTCGCGGAGCTGATCCAATATGCTGCTTATATACGGGAGAGGATACGCATCGGGTTTGGAAACTGCATTTAATTTTCTACAATCTAGACAAAGCCTTAGGTCCCCATTTGGCTTCTGAACCATTACTACAGGTGAGTTCCAAGCTGACTGTGAAGGTGACACAACTCCCAAACTAAGCATTCTATCCAATTCTTTTTCAAGTGCTTGTTGCTTAACAGGTGATAATGGATAGTACCTTTGCTTAATAGGTTTACTATCCCCTGTGTCTATGACGTGATGAATTAAATTGGTACGTCCCAAACCTACTTTAACTGTGTTAATTTATCAAACTGTTGGATTAAATTATCCATGATTTGTTTTTGTTCTATGGATAAAGACTCGTATTCTTCAAGGCCTTTATTAAGAGAAACTGAATTTATGCTATTACTTATTGGTGATTCCGACTTTCGGTCAAACTGTACTTCGGATACAAGGGCACTTCCTAAGTCAAACACCTGCCAAAAATCAACACCTAGAATTATAGGTGAAGTTATTTGTGCAACAACATGAAAGTTAATCACTCTGAAATTATTGTTAAATTCAATAGGTAAGGACATATACCCTAAGCAATGCAATCTCGTACCATCTGCAGTTCTTACGTAATGCTCAGTGTCAAACCGGTTGAGTTGAAATCCGTGTTCTAAAAAGATCAAGTGCGCATTATTTCCAAGAATGCTACAAGTTGCACCCGAATCCAATAAGTCAAAAGCTTGTAAGTTCAATATTTTTAATTTTAAGTATGGTCTTATATCACTAGTATTTTTTTTAAACGGAACTACCTCTTCATTATTGGACGTATAAGACCTATTTTTATTAAAGGTGTAGGATAGTTCCGTGTTAACTAGTTTTTGAATTGCAATTACTACAATCTGTACGCTTAACACCTGTTAATATACACTTAAAACACACTAACTCTTTCGAATTGCAGTGATTAGTGAAATGAGTGTTTAATCCACACCTAAAGCATTTCCTATCCAATTGCCTCGAAGAGCCAGCTTCATTCGGCACAGAGACTTGTTTACTGTGAGATCGCGGCCTTTGTTTATTTAAGTCCGCTGTAATTTTAAAGTTATTCAAGTTAGGTGCACTAAATTGTTCCGCTCGCGACCGCGCAATTTCTAACTGTTTACAATAAAGTTTAAGTTTGTCTACAGAGGTTATATCATGTAAATCTAAATCTTTCATGTACTCTGGTCTAATGTTATGCATCAAGATTTCGAGTTGTTGTCTACTCGACAACGGGTGGGTGAGTCGCGAAAACAATCCCTGCATAATGGAAAGATAGACTACTATCGTTTCGTGTATGGCCTGTGTACGCTGCCTTATTTCATTTAATAGTTTATAGTCTAAATTGGGAATATCAAAGTCGTCCCTTAAGCATTTCAATAATTGTGAATATGAGTGGATATTAGCCTTATTACTTCTAAACCAACATAAAGCAGAGTTTTCTAAAAGATCAGAAAAAGCTGAAAGTATGCGAGCTTCAGTAATGTTGCGCCTCTTTAGTCCTCAAGACGTTCAATAAATACACGAACACACGTGGTTCCGTCAAATTTTAAGTTAAATGTATTTAGGTTCAAGGGTTTATCTTTCACATAGATCACGTTACTTTCCACTTTCTGGTTAGACGGCTGTGCCTGGGTTTCCTTGTATTCACTATCCGTGTCGCTATCTTCACCGTCTATGACACTCAAAATGCGAATCAAACGACTACGAAGATCTGACAAATGCGAACTACTTTCAGAGATACGAGCCAGCCTATCCATCAAATAATTTGCACGACGAGACAGTTTAAGAGTCAAATTGCGATCATCTACTTTACCCGCCTGCAGCTGGGATTCCAGAAGTTCGACCTTTGGGGTGCAGATCTCTAGTTCAGAGGCTATACTGGGTGACTGGAGTGGTTCACACTTCATGCTTCCACGGCGTGCGAGTTTGTACACCTGGCGGATCTGCTTCCTCAATGCATCGGTGGTTACATTTTCGTCTGTGCTGGAAACATCAATAATGGCGAGTTCATATCTGATTTCATCTTTATGTAATGAGTCTATATACTTGTGGATCGACATTTTGTTAAAATGTACTGACGGTTACAAAAAAGTCTTAAATCGGTTGATATTAAAAATATCTACTTAAAATAGCACAAATATTTTTATTATGTTAAGTTTTAATTCATTTAAGTACATATAAATCACATTTAAGTTAAACTTTCTTTGTTCTCAAGCTTACTTAAATCTACCTACATCAAAAAAATGTTAACATTAAATTTCACTAAGTTTTCATATTAAATGGGTTTTTAACAGCTTAAATAGTTACAATTAAGGTTAATTCATCTACTAACATCCAGCAACTTAAGGTTTAACGTTGGGTAGCCACTTTATAACACTTTTTAGGGCGTTACTCACCGGCTACGGTCATCGGAGAGTTAAGAGACTCGAGTATCAAAATAAAAGTATCCCAGGGCGCCTGTGGTTGGATGATTAGTAAATGAAAATTCAAAGATAGCATATACAGACAAAAGGTAGTTTATTTCCTTCTAAAGTTCATACGGATAGCTCCAAATATCAAGTTGTCACTTTAAAATACCCTGGGAACTGAGGTTTTTGACTAACCTGGTGGATTACACAATATTACATTGTTTATGGTTAATCCCGCGAAGCAGTGAGGTAACAGATGTCCTCCAGGTGTACTCCGGTCGCGGTCTCCAGGCCGCCCAGTCCCAATATAGCCACCAGTTGAAGCTGCCTCGCCTCGTTCACATAGTTAAACTTGATAATGGACCATACTCAAAGTAAGGACTGAGGATCCAATTTATGGGATGATGTGTTTCAGCACATTAAACTGCCTGTAGACATTGTGTTTAAGGGGCCGTACGCCCAAGTCACTCTTCACTTTAAATTCATGTTCCGGCGTTTCGATTCAAAAATTATATATGTGCGTGTCCGATCATTACAACGGCTCGCTCCCGAAAAAAGACTAGACTAGACCTCCCTTGGGCTACGCGGCACCGTCGATCCGTGGTAGGATTTCGAACTAACACGAAAGGTCAATTGCATGCAATTAGCTAGCTCGATTCGTCAATATACGTTTCTAGTTACTTCAGACTAATGACGTTAGATGGCGTACTGATGTCCGTTCATCGAATGTAATAACATAAATATGCTAAAATGAAGTACACGAAAATTTTCGTGTTACACATCCCCTTTGCTTGGGTTAAAAAGTTCTTCGTAATGAAGATACTTTTTCCGAAGACATCTCGTGCCACCTGCAGAACAACGCCTGAATACCAAAGACAGTGAAGAAGTTGTAATGTGTCTCTAATCCAATCTCACTAAAAATATTCGCACGATTCGCACCCATGCACAACAACTAACAAGTACCTACCAAACCATCACTTAATCACTTAATTACGACGTTTAATCTTACACAAGGCTCATTATTACTCTACTTATTACCTAATTTTCATTTCTGTATCTGTATACCTAGTAACATTATATTCCACTAAACAATTTAACCTCAAAATGTAATTACTTCTACTTGTGTTGTTGACACAAAAAAAAAATTACCTATTTGTGATGTAATTTAGAAAATACTACACTAATTGTTATACCTATATTAATCTAATGGCATGCAACTTTATTTACATTTATTCCTACATTTTTTTGATAGTAAAATACAACTACCTATGAATAATTACGTTCCCGAATCCTACGCGCGAATAGTCTATTAGCATTCATGCGGTGCATGACGTAACATCACGGGACAGAAACGAATACCTACAGTGCACTAAGCCTACACACGATGTTTACGTTTCGACTTGCCTTTTCTCTAAGTAGTCGAAAAACGAACGTGTTCTTGTTTATTAAGTTGAGTAGTTAAGTGATTTGGAAATCATATTAAGTATTAAGTTAAGTTAAATATCTATCTCGCATTAAGTTAAGTGAATTAACGTTTAATCATATTAAGTTAAAAGAAACGGCTTAAGTAATGCTACGCACTGCCTGGTAGGCATTTTCTTATAAAATGTCCAGAGTGCGGGCATAAAGAACAAGTTCTTATCTAACTCGCGCCGATGTTCACAACATAAGGTGACCTACTAGTTATGTATCGCTCGTTCATCAATACAATCACAGCTTATTTATCTCAGAAAGTTCACCGGTGGAAATAAATTTTGAAAATGTTTATTATTCTTACATTCTTTCACTCAATCATACTCTTCACTCACATTCTAGAAAACTATTAGTCATCGTGTTTAAGGATGTCTTTTATATGAAAATTACCTAGTGTCTTACCTTCCATGTTGGCTAAGGTATACGCTAAAGGTGATAATTTCGCTGTTATGACACGTTTTTAAAATTTTGGTGCTAGTTTAGCCGTAAATCTCTTTAAGGCATTAGATAGGTAATGGGTACGTTTATACACAATCTGACCTACTTTTAACTCAACATGTCGTTTTCTTAAGTTATAGTACTTTTCATTTCTAGAATGAGCATTTTTAATATGCTTTTGTACCTTTTTAAATATGGTGTATGGTGTAATTCCGCAAATTTTTTACTGTATGCTTGTGGTTCACCGAGAGTTACTTGAGATCTTTGAACTGGCTGAGTGCTATCTAAGCTGTGTAACATTCCATCTATTATGAATTCCCGTCCGTGCACAAGAAAATACGGAGTAAACTTAGTGGTATCATTCACGGCTGAATTAAGTGCGCATTGCAACTGTGGGATGTTCTCGTCCCATCGTTTATGCTCGGTACCTACATAACATGATATACCGTTAACTACGTTCCTAATCGCTCTTTCGGCTTCGATTTACCTGTGGGTGATAACGCGGGTTATAATAGATATTCGGTACGTTATATTTATGTAACAGTTGCCTAAACTGATTAGACACATACTGTGGGCCATTGTCAATATAGATAGTCTTACATACGCCATGTACTAGGAACACTTTCTCTTCTATGAACTTAGCGACCGCAGCGCCTGCTGCGGTCCGTATAGGATGCAACATGACATACCTGCTAAAATAGTCTGTACATACAATTAAGTTAATATTCCTATTGCGAGAAACCGGAAATGGGCCTAGCAAATCGCAACATATGGCCTCCCAGGGTTTGTTAACCTTCTTCGGGTTTCCCATTAAACCAGGTCTAGCCGTGTTGACGGGTTTGTATTGTTTACATATCTCGCATTTTTTAACATATTCTTTCACATCTCGGTACATGCAGGGCCAGTAGACTAAATTAAGACTAAGACGCTTGTGGGTTTTAAAGACACCCAAATGAGCACTAACTGGTTCATCATGACATTTCTTTAAAATACCTAACCTGTCTTCCTCGGGTACCACTAACTTCCAATTAAACTCATTCGTTAACTCATATTTATTTTTAGAGTACCTAAGCAATCTATCGTCTTTTACCGTGAAGTGGGGATATTTGCGAGGGTTGGTCTGACAATCTTCGTATACATGTCTATACCACGCATACTGGTTGCCGGCGTAGCGTTTGCATAAGAATTACTTAGTGCGTCTGGAATAACATTTAATTTACCTTTTCTGTGTTCTATTTCGAAATCAAATTGACTCAATCGCATGCTCCACCTGGCTAAGCGACCTGATGGGTTATTTAATTTATAAAACCATAATAACGAGGCGTGGTCGGTTATTATTTTACACTTTGTACCTTCTACATAAGATCTAAATTGCTCTAATGCGTAAATCACGGCCATAAGTTCTCTCTCCGATGTGGAAAAATTAATTTCATTTTTGGCAAGAAACCGACTGCAGTATGCTATGGAATGTTCTACCCCGTCATAAGTCTGGGTTAAGACTCCGCCCACAGCCACTGAGGAAGCGTCACAATGGATAGAAATGGGCAACCCAAAGTTTGGACATTTAAGTATCGGAGCAGACACTAAAGCGGTTTTTAAGTGGTTAAATGACTCATCTGCCTCCGTAGTCCATTCAAAGCGGACATTTTTGCTAGTTAATTTATTCAACGGTTTACTAATTTTCGAAAAATTGTTAATGAACCTCCTGTACCAGCCTGCCATGCCTAGAAACCTTTTAACCTCTTTAGCGGAAGTTGGAGTTGGATAATTCAATATAATATCTACCTTTCCCGGATCAGTTTTAAGTCCATGTTTGTCAACTAAATATCCCAAGTACTTAAATTCTCTACGACAAAAGATAGACTTATCCATGTTTATAGTCAAGTTTGCGTCCCTGAGTTTTGCGTAGACCTTATGCAAAGAGCTGCACATGTTCCGAGAAAGTGCTGGATATTATGATTATGTCATCTTGGAAACAGAATACTTTGTTGTTAAATTCGGGACCAAATAGCCTATCCATTAATCTCTGCATTGTGCTTGACGCGGAAACAAGGCCAAACGACATTACATTGAATCTAAATAACCCCCGGCGTGGCACTGTGAACGCGGTCTTATCAGCTGATTGCTCGCTATCATAGGGTATTTGCCAATACGCAGCGGAAAGATCTATTGACGTTAGGTATTTCGCGTCGCGGAGCTGATCCAATATGCTGCTTATATACGGGAGAGGATACGCATCGGGTTTGGAAACTGCATTTAGTTTTCTACAATCTAGACAAAGTCTTAGGTCCCCATTTGGCTTCTGAACCACTACTACAGGTGAGTTCCAAGCTGACTGTGAAGGTGACACAACTCCCAAACTAAGCATTCTATCCAATTCTTTTTCAAGTGCTTGTTGCTTAACAGGTGATAATGGATAGTACCTTTGCTTAATAGGTTTACTATCCCCTGTGTCTATGACGTGATGAATTAAATTGTATCAAATTGTTGGACTAAATTATCCATGATTTGTTTTTGTTCTATGGATAAAGACTCGTATTCTTCAAGGCCTTTATTAAGAGAAACCGAATTTGTGCTATTGCTTATTGGTGACTCGACTTTCGGTCAAACTGTACTTCGGATACAAGGTCACTCCCTAAGTCAAACACCTGCCAAAAATCAACACCTAGAATTATAGGTGAAGTTATTTTTGCAACAACATAAAAGTTAATCACTCTGAAATTATTGTTAAATTCAATAGGTAAGGACATATACCCTAAGCAATGCAATCTCGTACCATCTGCAGTTCTTACGTAATGCTCAGTGTCAAACCGGTTGAGTTGAAATCCGTGTTCTAAAAAGATCAAGTGCGCATTATTTCCAAGAATGCTACAAGTTGCACCCGAATCCAATAAGCCAAAAGCTTGTAAGTTCAATATTTTTAATTTTAAGTATGGTCTTATATCACTAGTATTTTTTTTAAACAGAACTACCTCTTCATTATTGGACGTATAAGACCTATTTTTATTAAAGGTGTAGGATAGTTCCGTGTTAACTAGTTTTTGAATTGCAATTACTACAATCTGTACGCTTAACACCTGTTAATATACACTTAAAACACACTAACTCTTTCGAATTGCAGTGATTAGTGAAATGAGTGTTTAATCCACACCTAGAGCATTTCCTATCCAATTGCCTCGAATAGCCAGCTTCATTCGGCACAGAGACTTGTTTACTGTGAGATCGCGGCGTTTGTTTATTTAAGTCCGCTGTAATTTTAAAGTTATTCAAGTTAGGTTCACTAAATTGTTCCGCACGCGACCGCGCAATTTCTAACTGTTTACAATAAAGTTTAAGTTTGTCTACAGAGGTTATATCATGTAAAGCTAAATCTTTCATGTACTCTGGTCTAATGTTATGCATCAAGATTTCGAGTTGTTGTCTACTCGACAACGGGTGAGTGAGTCGCGAAAACATTCCCTGCATAATGGAAAGATAGACTACTATCGTTTCGTGTCTGGCCTGTGTACGCTGCCTTATTTCATTTAATAGTTTATAGTCTAAATCGGGAATATCAAAGTCGTCCCTTAAGCATTTCAATAATTGTGAATATGAGTGGATATTATCCTTATTACTTCTAAACCAACATAAAGCAGAGTTTTCTAAAAGATCAGAAAAAGCTGAAAGTATGCGAGCTTCAGTAATGTTGCGAGCCTCTTTAAGTTCCTCAAGACGTTCAATAAATACACGAACACACGTGGTTCCGTCAAATTTTAAGTTAAATGTATTTAGGTTCAAGGGTTTATCTTTCACATAGATCACGTTACTTTCCACTTTCTGGTTAAACGGCTGTGCCTGGGTTTCCTTGTATTCACTATCCGTGTCGCTATCTTCACCGTCTATGACACTCAAAATGCGAATCAAACGACTACGAAGATCTGACAAATGCGAACTACTTTCAGAGATACGAGCCAGCCTATCCATCAAATAATTTGCACGACGAGACAGTTTAAGAGTCAAATTGCGATCATCTACTTTACCCGCCTGCAGCTGGGATTCCAGAAGTTCGACCTTTGGGGTGCAGATCTCTAGTTCAGAGGCTATACTGGGTGACTGGAGTGGTTCACACTTCATGCTTCCACGGCGTGCGAGTTTGTACACCTGGCGGATCTGCTTCCTCAATGCATCGGTGGTTACATTTTCGTCTGTGGAAACATCAATAATGGCGAGTTCATATCTGATTTCATCTTTATGTAATGAGTCTATATAACTTGTGGATCGACATTTTGTTAAAATGTACTGACGGTTACAAAAAAGTCTTAAATCGGTTGATATTAAAAATATCTACTTAAAATAGCACAAATATTTTTATTATGTTAAGTTTTAATTCATTTAAGTACATATAAATCACATTCAAGTTAAACTTTCTTTGTTCTCAAGCTTACTTAAATCTACCTACATCAAAAAAATGTTAACATTAAATTTCACTAAGTTTTCATATTAAATGGGTTTTTAACAGCTTAAATAGTTACAATTAAGGTTAATTCATCTACTAACATCCAGCAACTTCAGGTTTAACGTTGGGTAGCCACTTTATAACACTTTTTAGGGTGTTACTCACCGGCTACGGTCATCGGAGAGTTAAGAGACTCGAGTATCAAAATAAAAGTATCCCAGGGCGCCTGTGGTTGGATGATTAGTAAATGAAAATTCAAAGATACATATACAGACAAAAGGTAGTTTATTTCCTTCTAAAGTTCATACGGATAGCTCCAAATATCAAGTTGTCACTTTAAAATACCCTGGGAACTGAGGTTTTTGACTAACCTGGTGGATTACACAATATTACATTGTTTATGGTTAATCCCGCGAAGCAGTGAGGTAACAGATGTCCTCCAGGTGTACTCCGGTCGCGGTCTCCAGGCCGCCCAGTCCCAATATAGCCACCAGTTGAAGCTGCCTCGCCTCGTTCACACAGTTAAACTTGATAATGGACCATACTCAAAGTAAGGACTAAGGATCCAATTTATGGGATGATGTGTTTCAACACATTAAACTGCCTGTAGACATTGTGTTTAAGGGGCCGTACGCCCAAGTACTCGTCACTTTAAATTCATGTTCCGGCGTTTCGATTCAAAAATTATATATGTGCGTGTCCGATCATTACAACGGCTCGCTCCAAAAAAGACTAGGCCTCCCTTGGGCTACGCGCCACCGTCGATCCGTGGTAGGATTTCGAACTAACACGAAAGGTCAATTGCATGCAATTAGCTAGCTCGATTACTCAATATACGTTTCTAGTTACTTCGGACTAATGACGTTAGATGGCGTACTGATGTCCCTTCATCGAATGTAATAACATAAATATGCTAAAATGAAGTACACGAAAATTTTCGTGTTACAATCTATGCCTGTCAACTTAAGAACCCTATCCGAGGCTGAAACATACCGATACCTGGGTATGTCACAGAACATCGGTATCGATGAGGCTGGTATGAAACAGTCAGTTTGCGACGTGTTTTATGCACGCTTGACCAAAGTGCTTAATAGCCTTTTGTCCGGTGTGAATAAGACACACGCATATAACGGTTGGGTCATGCCTGTCCTTATGTATACCTTTGGCATACTCAGGTGTACTCAGACTGAACTTAACGCCCTGGATAGAAAAGTTCGCACTACCATGACGTCCCATAGGATGCATCATCCGAGATCGTCGGTAATGAGGCTGTACTTGCCGCGAAAGCATGGTGGGCGTGGCTTTCTGAGCGCGCTCACCATGCATAATCGTGAAGTGTGCAGCCTCCGTCATTACTTCCTGGCGAGATCGGATGATCCATTCTATAATGACGTCATTTCTAGTGATAAAGGGCTTACCCCTCTATCCTTAGCCAACGAGCAATGGCAAGACCCAGCACTGCTTAGCATTTCCGACCGCGAGGCCGTATGGAAGGAGAAGGAGCTCCACAGGAGGTACTACAGGGCTCTACATGAGCCCCACGTAGATACAGCCGCCTCCCTCAACTGGCTACGTTTCGGTGACCTATTCGGGGAAACCGAGGGTTTTGTCTGTGCAATACAGGATCAGGTTATTAAGACCAACAACTATCGGAGATACATCCTAAAGGATGGCACCATCGACATCTGTCGAGCTTGTCGCCATCCCGGTGAGTCGCTTAGGCATTTCATCTCCGGTTGTTCGGCGCTTTCTAACTCTGAGTACTTGCACAGACACAACCTAGTAGCCAGAATTCTACATCAGGAGCTCGCTCTGAAATACGGTCTCGTGGACCGGAAATTGCCGTATTACAAGTACTTGCCGGAAGCCGTGCTCGAAAATGACCGCGCCAGGCTCTACTGGGACCGGGCCATCATCACAGACAGGACTATTCTTGCGAATAAGCCTGATATTGTGCTGATGGACCGGGCACAGTCAAGGTTATTTTTGGTCGACCATTACCATTCCGTATGACGAGAATCTCGTGAAAGCCGAAACAGATAAGCGAACAAAATATCCGGACCTGGCTCACGAGGTGACTGACATGTGGGGTGGTCTGCCAGTCGAAATTATTCCTGTAGTCGTCTCTGCGAATGGGCTAATCCCAGACAGCCTCTCGGGTCATCTGAGGCGACTGGGACACCGTGACGGACCGCTTCGGGCTCAAATGCAAAAGGCGGTGCTCCTCGATACCGCCCGCATCGTCCGCCGATTCCTTTCCCTTTCCCCCTAACCCTCGGCCGTTTGGTCTTCCCTGCCGAGGGCCTCCATCTTTGGGCTTTTATTTATTTATCTATTATTTATTTATTTATGTTAGTATATTAAATATATATTTATGTATATTTATTTTTTCCTTTTATATATTTATCCAGCCCAACCAGATGTGATGACTCTATCAATGACCCCCATAATAATAATTAAAAAGAAAGTACAGCATTATATAAACTAAAATTACACTTATATTACAAAATGTCTCTTATTTCGGTGTGTCTTTTGACAAAGGCCTCCTCCAACTCTTTCCACTGTTTTCTGTCTGCCGCCACTCTTATCTATAGGGGTCCTAAGGTCAATTTTAAATCATCCTCTCATCTTCTTGCTTTACGAACTCGGCTCCTAGTGCTGTCTCTTGGGTACCAATATGTCACCTGTTTGCTCCACTTTTCCTTTTTGCAGCGAAGCATATGTCCAGTCCATCTCCATTTAAGTTGATCAATACGTGACAGTATATCTGTTAATTTCATTTTGCGCCTAATGTCTATACTACTCACTTTGTCCATTAGTTTCAACCCTAACATGCTTCTTTCCATGCTTCTCTGACATCTTACTAGTTTGTCCTTGTGGTGTTTTGTTAAAGCCCAGGTTTCGCAGCCATATGTAATGCAGGGTAGGATGCAGGTATCAAAAATCTTTTTCTTGATCTTCATACCCAGTTCCTTGATTTTCATGATTTCTTTCAAGTCCCAATACTTCTTCCACCCAGTCGCAATTCTTTTGTCTATTTCTTTGGACATTGGCGATATTATCTGACCTAGGTACACATATTCCTCTACATATTCAAGTTTCTGTCCGTTGATGATTATGTCTATGGGTATTGAGTTGGTCATCATTTTAGTCTTGTTTATGTTAATTTCTAGACCTACTTCTCTACTTCTGTCTACTAGGGCTTGTATCATGGACTTTAGTTTAAGTGCGTCCTCTCCCATTATAACTAGATCGTCTGCAAATCTTAGATGACTCAATCGTGTTCCGATTTTTTTTATTTTTTTTTATTTATTTTTTTATTTAGGTAATCATACAGCGTTTTTATCGTGTTTACAATACATATTATCATATAGTAAGGCCAATAGAGATTACACAATTTTTATGTTTGTGTGATTATGCCCTATTTTTGTTTACAACATCACGTTTGATGCGACTCTTGGATAGGTTGAAAATATCCAAGTCAGCGTAAAACTTATTATAGTTTTGAACAATACGACATAAAGTAGAATTTTTTGCGTAATTTGCTCGTGGTACGTGAAATACTGGCGTATGTCTAGTTCGGTATTTAGGTACTAGTATCGATATTTTAGATAACATGTCTGGACAATCTATATTACCAGACCATAAACCGTGTCGCAAAAACGTATCGTGTTGAAGTCCTCTGAGTTTCAAGGTATCTAAGCGGTAAAATTTGCAAGCATCTTCGTATGAAGCAAAACTATTATGATCTTTTGATGAGTTAAATTTAATGAACAGTTTTTGAATTGATTATATTCTATGCTTATGCTTCGCATACTTTGGAGACCAGATTCTATTAGCGTATTCGAGAACACTCCTTACGTATGCAAAGTATAGAGCTTTAATGCAATTACTCGTAGTACTTCTAAAATCGTTGCAGACGCGCTTTATGAATCCAATTTGCTTGTAGGCTTTGTCAACAATACCATCTATATGCTCATTGAACGTTAATTTTGAGTCCAGCCTGATACCAAGATCTCTAACTGATGATACACTCTTTATGGATTTATTGTTAATTGAATACTTGTAATCTATGAGCTGTTGCTTGCGACTGAAGGTTATTTTGACACATTTTTCACTATTGATAGTAATTCTATTTTTGCTGTAATAAGTTTCTAGGTTTTTTAAATCGTTTTGAATCAGAACACAGTCATCAATTGTTTTTATTTTTAGATAATTTTTTTTGTCATCTGCGAACATTAAATAGTCGTTGTAGAACAAAGGTCCGAGTATTGAGCCTTGTGGAACACCTGATGTTACCGTAATAAAATCACTACGAGCACTACCCAGTAACACTGCTTGCCTTCTGTTACTTATGTATGAAGTTACCCATCTGTGCAAATCACCATGAATACCCAAATTGTAAAGTTTGCGTAACAGGATGGCATGATCAACACGGTCAAATGCTTTTTCAAAGTTCGTCTATATTACATCGACCTGCTGCCTGTCGTCCATGCGCATATATATGTAATTGGTTAAAATAGCTAAATTTGTTACAGTTGATCTTTTATTTATAAAACCATGTTGTTCAGTTGGTAATGATTTTAAGATTATGGGACTGATGTGTATAAAGATAAGTTTTTCATAAACCTTTCCAAATGTGTTTAATATAGAGATTGGGCGGTAGTGCTCAATTCTGTTTTTTTGTCCACTCTTATGCATAGGTATTATTAGAGCTCCTTTCCACTTACTAGAAAATGTTCCATAGGTATTAACAGACATATTAAAGATTATTGAGAGAGGCTTGGCCAAGTGTTTTGCACATTTATGTATAAATAGGGGAGGTATACTATCGCTACCAGGCCCTGTGTTGGTTTTAATTGTATGTAGAATACGAAAAACATTTTTAGTACTAAAGTATATATTATGTAATATATCGTTTGATTCTACGTTTGGAATATGGGAATCGTAAGAAGAAGAAGGTTTTTGAAAAACACTTTCAAAGAATTTATTAAATCCCGCACACACGTTCGTTTCATTTGTGTATGATTCATTTCCTAATTTTAATGTATTAGGGTATGTAGAGTTGCTATTACGTATGTATTTTAAATAAGACCATAATATTTTAGGATTTTTTTAGAAGGCTTTGCATTCTATCTAAGTAATGCTCGTGGCACTGTTTTTGTAATTTCTTTTGTCTAGTACGTAGTATGCAAAATTCGTCATAATCACGGGGATTTTTATATTTTTTCCAATGTTTTATGTTTTAAGAGCTTTTCTCGAATAATATGCCTTAGTGATTTAGAATACCAGACAGGGTAAAGATGAACGGGATAAACAAGTAGGTACAAATTTATCAATTATTAGGTGTAGCTGGGAATAAAAATTTTGAACTACGACACCAATTGAGTTGCCAGTTAACAAGGAAGACCAGCTGACTTCTGAGAGGGTTTTATTTATTTTATCGTAATCAACTCGGTTAAAGTTTAATTCTGATCGGGGTTTATTTTTTAAGCAGGGTATTAACAGATTAGATACATCGCGCAGTAAAGAAGGATGGTATTTATCCTCAGATACAAGATATATTTGAGAACGGGTAACGTCTATGTTTATGTTACTAAACACTAAGTCTAGTACGTTGCCACTATTGTTGCTAATAATATTATGTTGATTTAGCCCTGAAGTTGCATAAATCAGTTAACTTTATTCTAGCATTTTGTAATTCTACTGGACTTTGCTTAAGCATTACGGGAGCTGAAGAGGACCAAGATATATTCGCTAGGTTGAAGTCACCGGCAACTATAAAATGATCATTTGGACTTTGAGTCATGATTTTTGTGAGCATTTATGTAAAATTATCTAAACGCTTTGATTGATAATTATCAGGCGGTATATAAACAACTCCAATGTTTAAATTACGTCTGTCTTAAAAAATTAAATATTTTCCTGGTATTGTTACCCACAAACATTCGAGATCTCTACACATCCATTCCGTCCGTTCTTGAGCTTGTAATTGTGTATACGTACAAATCATGACCCCCCACCCTTCTTTTTATGCGAAGATGTTTTATTTCTATCATACCTAAATATGTCGTACCTATTGTCACATAATTCACCGTTGCAAATACCATCAGTCAACCAAGTTTCTGTAATGAGTATTATGTTGAAGTTATTACAAATTATACTGTCTCGAAATTGCCTAGTTTTAGTTCGTAAGCCACGGACGTTTTGATAGAATACGTACATTGAGTTATAAGGCACTTTTAGCATGATTTAAGTACCATTGTGTTGTAATTAAATTATAAAAAATATATTTATCATAGTAATTAATAGTAATGTAGATAATAATTATATTATGTAACAGAAATAATACAGGTTGAAGAGTCATGAGGGATGGTTTTGCAACAGACAGGAATTTTATTTTTATACAAGGTAAGAAATGGTAGCTTATACATTTCTTTTGTAGGGCATTTTGGTGTAAATATTCAGTATTACTGTAAATTTTGAAAGATGTGTGTGAATGTAAGATTTTGATGTATGTGATAATGGATGTGTAAATCGTGAGTGTTGTTTTATGTGTTAAATATGTAACTATTAATATTAAAACATAGCATGCTAATACTATCAAAATTAATCTTATCATACAATTTTTAATAAATCTTTTTCGGAATTTATAGTGATAGCGGGAGACTCCTCGTTTTTCCATAAAAAAAATGTGGCAGTTTCTGACCCAGACAAACTTATATGATTTGGCCATTGCTCGTGATTTTACTATTTTCAAGAGTTGCTTATTCTCAGGGGTCAGGTGTTTGTTAACAAAAAACCTTTTAGCTGGACCACCCAGTCCAATATCGGAAGTAGTCTTTGGTTTTGCGGAGCCCTGAAATAATATTATCTTTAATAGTGCGATTCTGAAATTCGACTACAGTGATTTTTGGGCGACCTTCAACATTCTGCATAGGCTGAACTCGGTGCGCAAAAACAATTTGGTATTCCGTAAGCTTTATTCCTGCATGGCTGGCTATTTTGATTATTAATTTAGAAGTTAATTCTTTTGAGTTTTCTGGTAAACCAACAATCTCTAAGTTCGACAGTCTACCCCATTGTTTTTCTTTTTTTATTTGCGCACATAAATCCGCCAGTTTCATTTCGCCATTCTGGAATTTTGTTGAAGTTTTTCAATATTACTTTTAAGATTGTTGCTGTCATTTTGCAAACTGTTATGCGATTCTTCCAGCTGTTTAAGGTTACTAGTTATTTCATTTTTTATTTCAGTGATAAGTGATAATTTCAACTCTTGAATTATATCGAATTTTATAGCACTGAGTTTTTTTGTCTAACCGCTAAGCTATTAATTAATTCCAAATTATATGGTTGGCAACTACTGGTCTCAGTGATACATGTAGGCTGGTCAGAACTTTTGTTTGATGGTCTATACGTAGTTTTATCATAAACGATGTTGGAAGGAGATTTATTAGTTCGTATCGGAGTGTTACTGTTATCACCACCTTTTCGACAAGAAGCAGTGCAAGCGGGACACTTCCATTCAGATCTTGAAGCAGTATCATTATTAAAATTTATGCACTCTGAATGGAAGTTATGCGAACATTGTGTACATTTTATTCGTTTTTGAGTAACATTTATATTTGCTATGCATGCTTCACACCTTCGGCCCATTTTACTATTGAATAAAGCGTTAAAATGCAGAGAATGTAATACAAATTATAAGTACAAAAAGTGCGTCAACTCCAATACACAGTGTAGGGGACTCGATCCTCCGTCGCTTTAACTTTTAATTGCTGTGCACACCGTTAGGCCGTTCGACCAACACGCCTTGAGCAGATACGCTGAAATTTTTGAACTCTTTGTACGATTTGCAATAGTCCCTCAAGTTTTTTTAAAGGGTAAGTTAAAATGATTTTGCTAATTTTTCTTAACTTAGATCACTTTTCTCAGAACTAAGCACCGATGTACTTTGAAAAACTATTATAGTCTCACAACTATTGCACTATACCACTAAATAATGCTTTTTGAAACGTTTAACGATTAATTTGATCGGAACACTTTTTAACGCGTCCACCCGCTTAATGTCGGTACTTGCTTATTATTTAGTCCCAAATGAGCCCATTCCAATTTTCTAAACATTTGCTCAAGCAATGCTGTGAACAGCTTTTGTGAGAGTGGGTCACCTTGCCTGACGCCTCTTTCGATTGGGAAAATTTCTCCTGTTGATTCTAGCCTGGTTCTGGCTTTAGTTTCACTGTAAATATTTTTGATGATATTAACATAGGCAGTTTGGATCCCCTGTTCTTTTAGACTCTGCCACACCGACTCGTGTTTAAGGTTATCGAAAGCTTTGGCATAATCCATAAAGGGCAGGTAAATGGTTTTATTGTATTCATTGTATTTCTGTATGAGCTGTTTGACTGTATGTATATGATCGATTGTACTAAAGTCTTTCCCGAACCCCGCCTGTTCCACGGGTTGAGTCGAGTTCGTCGAGTGTGAGTTATATTCTGTCTAGAATCATTTTAGCGAAAACTTTATATACATTTGAGATGAGAGAAATGGGTCTATAGTTTCCTATATCGTCTTTTTGACCCTTTTTATGTAGAAATATTATATGTGATTCTGCCCATTGACTCGGAATGCAGCCGGTTTGTAGAGTCTCATTGAAGATCTTTGTTAGTATTGGGCTTAGTTCTTTAATTGTCCCTCTCATATGTGCGTTTGTGATTATGTCTGGACCAGGGGCTTTTTCCAACTTCTGACTTTTTATAGATTTTTCTACTTCCTTTACTAATATTTCTGGTTTAACTTCTACGTCATTGATCATATGGTTTTGTATATTATTATTATATTCTTTATCTGGCCATTGTATTTTTAGATGAATTGAACTATGTTCTTTGTACAGTAAACGATAATAGTTTGTCGCTATGTTTTGAATTTTTTTGCGAGAAGTATTTGGCAGTATTTAGTCTCTTAACTTCGGTATCTATTTTTTTCCCTGTTCTCTAAGTTCCTTAAGCGCTTTTTTATGCCTCCTGTTTCGCTAAAGTCATTCTCTAGGGTTTTGATTCTTCTATTTTTCCTGTCAATCCTCATATTCTCACGAATCTGTTTGCTAAGATTAGATATTTCTTTTTGATTTTCTTTCTTATCCTTTTTTTAATTAAATTTCTTCTGTCTTCAATTAGTTTTAAAGTTTTTTCACTTAAATAGGATTTTTGATTCTCGTTTATATGTATACTTGCCTGTTCTTTGAACTTGGTTTCTATTTTTTTATATTTTTCGTTAAGGTGTGTAATATATTTGAAGCAACTACTTCCATTAGATCTTTTGTGTTATCGTTTAAATTCCTCTTTCTACTAGTTATTTGTAAGGAGTTCATTTGAGTAACTTTTGGTCTAGGTTTTTTTGCACCACTTTCATTTAGGCAGCTGCGTACCATACGGTGGTTAGTATAGAAGTTTAGATTATTTATTATTCCCGTATCACTAAACGACCTAACTTTGTTGGTTATTATGTTGTCGATTTCATTTCTAGTCTTTCCATCTGGAGACATCCAAGTCCATTTATTTTGGGTTTTTTGCGAAACATGGAGTTTAGTGTAAGTTTTTCTCAAGCAGGAATTCTATCAATTTTTCTCCATTTTCGCTTCTTTTGCCACTTCCATATTTCCCTATTATGTATTCTTCGCAAGCTAATCGGGCGCTGACTTGAGCGTTGAAGTCGCCCGTCAGTACTATATTATTATCCGAATATTTTTCAATAATTTCGCTAAGTTTGTTGTAGAAATTATCTATGTCTGTTTTTGTTGCTTGTTCTGTCGGCGAGTATACTTGGATGACTGTCCATTTTTTTGGGTGTTTTGGTAAGTTTATATAAATTGCCGCTATTCTATCCGTTACCCCTTCGAACTCAATGATCTGGTTTTTGAGGTTTAGTTTTACCAAAAATCCTACTCCTCTTTGTCCAGCGACTTCGCCTTTGTGGTACATAATGAAGTGGCTTCTCTCTTCTATTCCTTCTCCTAATCTTCGCATCTCGAATATGCTTAAAATGTCCCACTTGATGTTTTTAATAGCTAACTCTAGCTCTTGCAAACTTTCCGGTGTTCTCAAGGTTCGTGTGTTTAGTGTACATAAGTATAGACTACTTCGTTTTTGTATCACTTTTTTTGTATTTGATTTAGTTGACAAATTTGTTGGAGGGTGGTGGTCGGCTTCCCCCACGTTGATCGGCCGGCTTGGGGGACAATTTACTTCATTTTTTCTTGCAGTTATAGTTTTTGTTGTGTCTGTATGTTGGTTCCGGTTGGAAAAGGCTTGTTTTTTGACATCTCTGACATCGAGGCAGACCTTCCGCGTGATATATGTGAAAAGATGCTTGGTTTAATTACTTCCTTTGTTGAACTTATGGGTGTCTTTACTTTCTCAGTATTTATCTTGTTTAGTTATTTTAGGGATGAAGTGGTTGGCGATCCTGAAATCTCTCTCTTCCTTTTTACGTGGTTAGTGGTCCTTGGTTTTTTCACAATTAGCTTGTCGTATTTTATAAACGCTATGTTTCCATTTTCTCTTTCTACTTCTAGTTTTGGTTGTTACTGTTTGCGTATTTCAAGGACTTCATTGGGAAAGTCTTCTTTGACATTTATACATTTGTTACGCTTGTTACGCTTACGGAGGTTACGCTTGTTTTTCAAAATAAGATGTTTCTTCCTAGTTGTTGTAAGAGATATTATCACCGGATGATTTTTATCAGATTGTGCTCCAATTCTTCTGATGTAACTTATTTCTTGACTGTCTAAATGCGTACCGTATTCTGTTATTATTTCCTTTACATAATCGACGAACTCTAATTCTGCTTTTCCCTTTTCTTCAATGCCAAAAAGAATTAAATTATTCCTGCGTTTTTCCTTTTCTAAGAATGATATTTTTTGTTCCAAATTAGTGACTTTAATTTTAAGGCTGTTATTTTCTTCTCTCAACATTCATCTTTTCGTCTAATGCTTCCATAACATTTTCCGTTATTTTTGTCGTTAATGTTATTGTTTGTTCATTAAACTTTTCATTTATTTTAGAGAGAAAGATTTCCATTTTAATGGTGGTTAATATAGCGCATAGCGCCATATTATAGCGCGCTGTCTCTTCATAACACATAGCGCGTGTTATGTAAGTAGTCGCCATGGCGCTATTGCGCTATGCGCTATTAAGTATTAATATCTAGCGGCAATTAGTTCTAGCAGCAGCGCTATTGGGAGAGGACGTGTGACGCAAATTTGATCTCGTAGCGCGCAATTCTTCGCGCGCGACTTAATTTAATGTTAGACGTTGCTTAGTTAGTGTATGTACTGTATATTTTATAAGTGATCAAAGGACACAATTGTGATAAATGAAGCCTAACTAATGTTTTTAAATGTAAATAAAATATAGATACAAAAGTGTATATAATAGTGTATGTAAATAATTGATTTTTATAAATACAATAAATAAACTTTTAAATACACCTTTATTTGATTTATAATTTATATTAAGGTTATAATAATGTTTACATCAATTATAATAAAAAATAATTAATTTTATTTCGATTCAAAAATAAAATAAATCCTATTTTAAAAAGTACATGACTTAAAAATATTTTTAGGATTATAGAACGAAGTAAGCCTGAAAAGTATGAAAAAGCGTGCATTGGTTTTTCTTTACCGCTTTATTTTATTTTAGTCTAAAATGCGACTTATTATAAAATAATGTTCTTATACAGCACGCGATCTATCCAATGAACGACATGTAATGTAACATGCTAAGAAATATAACGTGCTGCAAAACTTAACGCGCTTATCGGCCTCCTACACGCTTTCTTATAAATAGCGCGCTATAACATAGCGTATTTAATAGCGCGCTAGAAATTTATAGTTTATAGTCTGTTGTGTGCTATTGATTTATAGTCGTTTTGAACAACTTTATTCCATTTGTTTGTCCATTTTGATGTTGGGTAACTTTCGCTTCGCTGCGTTACACTTTCGTAGCCGGAACCGGAATTCTGCATGTTTAGATAAGATAAGATTGTATGTTTTTTATGTATGTTACGTAGGTCACTCAATAAGTTTTGAGATGCTCGAAATTTAAACATGGAACGCACCCGTGTTATATGTTTCTAAAAAGAAAATATATTTAAAAATAGAACTCCATAAGCCATTTGCTTAATATTAAAAAAAAGTTCTATTAATTTTCCTGCAACACTTCCCTTCATATAGAACGATGGATCTTAACCGTAACCTTAGCGCGCTATGATCTATTACCATTTTAAATTTGGTTTAATCGGACAATTAAGTTTACAACGGTTACAATCAGAATTAGGGGACTCAGCTCCATTACGCACCATAATTTTTAGGGGGTTTTGCTGAATTAAAAAGGGGTAAAATTAACCTTAAAAATGACTAAAGAACCGGGGCCCCGCACACAGCAGTAACTGCAGAAAATGTTGGTGCGAGAAGACCCACGAATCACATATACGGATATCGAAAAGATTGTAGGCATTAGTTTGGAGAGCATTCATACCATCCTACATCTACATCTTGGAGTGAAGAAGCTTTGATGTCGATGGATCCCTCGTTTTCTCTCGGAAAGCGAAAAAAAAAAAGACTCGTGTGGATTGGTGCCATGAAAAGCGTCTACGTTTTGAAAACGGGGCATCTGGGCGTGTTTCAAAAAATGTTACTGGTGACAAGACATGGATTTATCAATATGATCCGGAAAATAAAAGGTAATCATAGGTATGGGTCTACTCAGAAGGACAGTTACCGACAAAACTGCAAAGACCTCGCAACGTCGGCAAAAAAAATGGTGGCTAATTTTTTTTCGCGGAGCGGACATTTCTCGACGCCAATGCTGGAAAATTGTAGGTCAGTCAACTCTGAATGGTATAATATAGTTGTATTACCCAAAGCCTTTCAAGCTGTGCGGGAGAGAAGACCAAAAACTGGGCTTCGGGGAATCATGCTGCATCACGATAACGCCTCTTCACATACTTTCCTTAGAACAAAAGCATTTATTGAGGGATCTGGTGTTGAAACTCTAAGTCACCCACCCTACAACCCTGACTTAACTCCTTGTGATTTCTTTTTGTTCCCAAGAGTCAAAGAAGAAATAAAAGGCAAGTTTTTTCCAAGCACCGAAGAAGCCATGGCTGCCTACGAAGAAGCGTTGACTGTAGAAGATGAAAAGGTTTAGAATGGAGGCGAATGGAACTTTGTATAGAGCATGATGGAGAAAATTTTGAAAAGATATAAAATAAATATGAATAGTATCTAGAATACTTTTTGTATATCTCAAAACTTATTGAATGTACTGCGTACCTCTTAACTTTTATCTGGGTGAACCGATTTTGATACTTCTATTTTTATTTGAACTTTTTGGTGATTCTCTAGTGGTATAAATTTGATCAAGATTTGACCAGTAGTTTTTGAGTTATTCTTAATGATGTGACTTCGAATACATTGATGATGTTCTCATTTTATTTATATTGAAGTCGGTTGTACAAAATTTTTAATTTTGCCACTTGATTTTTTATTCAATCATGGTGATCGTGTGATAATAATATTACGAATTAAGTAAAAAACAATGTTTGCGAGAGTAAGAGTGGAATGCCTTGCAACAATAAACTTTAGGTAGCACTGGATAAAGTTCAGTTCAGTCTGAGAACAGAAGGAATTTTGTTTATAAAGTTTGTTGAAATTCACTACACATAACGCTAGGTGTAAAATCGTACTCGCCTCTGTTTGCCCTAAACTAGATCATATTTACACTAAAACTACGTGTAAAATTGTACTCGCGTCTTTTGACTCTACATTTGACTTTATATTTGAATCCACGGACTCTACGGTCAACCCTACAGTCGACTCTACACTCAACACTACATGCGAAGTGGTACTTAACACTCGTCACAATGGCCAATATATTATTAAAAATCAGGTTCGAAAGTATGAACCATTACCATATAAAAATTTCGTGTTGATGGTATGCGTCAAGTAAAACGTAAAAAAAAGTATTTAAAATGATGTTTCTCACCCTTAGGCGTACATTACACGCTCATGCAGGCTCATGTACGCCTTAAATTTAGCTCCTGTCATAATAGAAAAGCACATCCCCATATCATATCATCATGTAGTTGACGTAAGATGCAACCGAGTAACAATAATTTAAAATACCAAAAAACTGCGGTTGCACTTTAAAGTACTACCAACCGTCCGCAAAGCCTAACGGAAAATATTGGTTCTATATCTATAGCTAAGGCCCATGTTCAGCAGTGGACTTTGATAGGCTGTAATAATGATGACGATGATGATGATGATAATAATAATAATAAATGCCGCATGCGTTGGACAACTCAAATGAACAGCAACGCATTGCGGGCGTATTTTAGGGCGAAAGGAATTTGAAGAAGAAATTGGAGGTTTTGCGTATCGGGCAAGGATGCATCGACTTTTTGCTGAGCTGGAGCCATCTGTAACCGTCACCAAGCAAAACCTGGCAGACCGTGTTTGGTATATCTTGCGCTCAAATATATTTGATGTCACCGAACTCGAACGGCTACGACGTGAGGCTGTTCCTTCATCGGATGAAAATGCTACGGCTGAGGATGCGGCGCCACAACTTGCAGAGCAACCGGTAAACGTGGATGCCGCCGTGAATACCCCAGTTTTGGTTGATTCAAACGATGATGGAACAGTCGCCCAGGAACTGGAACCGGAGCAAATGGGGAGTACATTGGATGAGGCGATTTTAGAAACACGCAGTACGTCTCTCGAAAATCGACCGCGATTTCCCCGCATAGCCCTAAGCAAGCAGAATCGGGTTATCGTGAGGGCTCTGAACCCAATGCTGGTGACCTATTTGGAAGCCCGTCAGGACCTTTGCGAGACGGACTCAATTATCTTTGGCGCCGCACTGGCAGTCTGCCGTATTATAGGCGCCAAACTTTCCACGTCTGGACGCACTACTGGACAAAGTAGTGCTATCCCAGCCTGGAGAACAAGAATTAAAGAATGTATCGCAAAAGCAAAGGCCCTCATCGGCAGACTGATATGCTTCAGGCCAAGGATTGTGCGCACCGTCATGATGGCGTTTGCTGGGACAAATGTTAGTTTGTCCCAGCCGGATATAATGCAAAAACTGACGGAGCGCATAGACGACTTGATCAGAGAATCGCTGCTTGGGGAAAGCGGATTCAGCGATATACCGAGAGATCGACACGGTTCAACCAGAATCGTCTCTTCCAGAGTGATCAGAAGAGGCTCTACAAATCATTGGAGCGACCAATGGTAAGTGGAACGGGCCAAGTACCGAATCAGGCTGACACGGTCGCATTCTGGCGCAGCCCGTGGTCAGAGCCCGTAAACCACAACGAGGGCCCTCGGACGGAAGTTGTGACGAGTCAATGTGCGGGTATTACGCCCATGGACCCCGTCATCATAACGCCGGATGACGTAGCTGAGGCGGTCCGTAGGGCCCCGAACTGGAAAAGTCCGGGGCTTGACGGGCTGCATCACTACTGGCTGAAGGGGTTCATGGTGTGTCACGCTGTGCTCGCCCGACAGTTTCAAGAGGCTCTCAACCAGAAGTCCTCCTCTTCACTTCTGGGATCACTCATTTGGTTCCTAAAGATCAGGGTGCCACAGACCTGAGCAAATACCGCCCCATCACGTGTCTACCCTATACAAGACACTAACATCCATTTTGAGCGCGAGAATCACTCGTCACCTGGACTCAAATCAGGTGATGTCGCGCGCTCAAAATGGATGTCGGAGCGGTGGTCGTGGAACCAAGGAACTACTTCTCATTGACGCGGAAGTCTCAGTACTTTACTGGAGGACTCCGGGAGGGGTTTTCAGCTTCGAAAAGGAGGTACAAAAGTGACCCACCTTTTTATATGGATGACCTCATGTTATTCGCCTCCAGTCGCTTCCATTTTGTGGAATTGCTAAACATCACTTGTGAATTTAGCAATTCTATTGGAATGGAGCTGGGGACTGATAAGTGTGCGGTCCTCCATGTTGAAAGGAGAAGGGTTGCTAACTCTGAGGGCGTAGACTTATCTATGCCCGTCAACTTAAGGCTCCTTTCCGAGGCTGAAACATACCGATACCTGGGTATGTCACAGAACATCGGTATCGATGAGGCTGGTATGAAACAGCCAGTTTGCGACGTGTTTTATGCTCGCTTGACCAAAGTGCTTAGCAGCCTTTTGTCCAAGCTATAGGTGTGAATAAGACACACGCATATAACGGCTGGGTCATGCCTGTCCTCATATATACCTTTGGCATACTCAGGTGGAGTCAGACTGAACTTAACGCCCTGGATAGAAAAGTCCGCACTACAATGACGTCCCATAGGATGCATCATCCGAGATCGTCGGTAATGAGGCTGTACTTGCCGCGAAAGCATGGTGGGCGTGGATTTCTAAGCGCGCTCACAATGCATAATCGCGAAGTGTGCAGCCTTCGTCATTACTTCCTGGCGAGATCGGATGATCCATTCTATAATGACGTCATTTCTAGTGATAAAAGACTTACCCCTCTATTCTTAGCCAACGAGCAATGGCAGGACCCGGCAGTACAGAGCGTTTCCGACCGGGAGACCGTATGGAAGGAGAAGGAGCTCCACGGGAGGTACTACAGGGCTCTACATGAGCCCCACGTAGATACAGCCGCCTCCCTCTACTGGCTACGTTTCGGTGACCTCTTTGGGAAAACTGAGGGTTTTGTCTGTGCAATACAGGATCAGGTTATTAAGACCAACAACTATCGGAGATACATCCTAAAGGATGCCCTGTCGACGTCTGTCGAGCTTGTCGCCATCCCGGAGAGTCACTTAGGCATGCCATCTCCGGTTGTTCGGCGCTTTCTAACTCTGAGTAATTGCACAGGCACAACTTAGTAGCCAGAATTCTACACGAGGAGCTCGCTCTGAAATACGGGCTCGTGGACCGGAAATTGCCGTATTACAAGTACTTGCCGGAAGCTGTGCTCGAAAATGACCGCACCAGGCTCTACTGGGAACGGGCCATTATCACGGACAGGACTATTCTTGCGAATAAGCCTGATATTGTGATGATGGACCGGGCACAGTCAAGGATATTTTTGGTCGACCTTACCATTCCGTATGACGAGAACCTCGTGAAAGCCAAAACAGATAAACGAACAAAATATCAGGACCTGTGAGGTACCGACATGTGGGGAGGTATGCCGGCCGAAATTATTCCTGTAGTCGTCTCTGCGAATAGGCTAATCCCAGTCAGCCTCCTCCGACTCCGTGACAGACCGCTCCGGGTTTAAATGCAGAAGGCGGTGTAAGATTTTTAGTAGTCAGCCATCGCAGAAAGCAGGCGCAAGGAGGCGCTCAAAATTGGAGCACGGAAGGATCTTTTCAAACTATGTAAGAAATATCGTGTTTATTCTTTTACACAGTTTTTGGAATAAACTTTTGACATCTCCAATTAAAGTGGTAAATTCGGCTACATTTTTTAAATCTTTAGAGCATTTCAAAAAAAAAACTAAGGACTTATTCTAGGACACACATACACAATCAAAAAAGCAAAAAAATATATTCTGTCATTCAAGAACACATGTGAATTTTACATACCAAGAATTTCACCCTATTTCTAATGTCGGAAAATTATTTAAAAAGGTTAAATTAAAAAGTCGGTGCTTAGGCACAATTTAACATAGAATATAACCAATACCACATTATTGTGCTTAACCATTACCGCTAACTTAGAAGCGAGATGTGGTAAATTTAAGTTTTACTCTTTATTTAAAGTTAATTTTTAGTGTACTAAGAAATATCACACGTTCAAAATTACCCCCGTATTTTTCCATCTGAGTGAATTTCTCTTCGGTCGTGTCCGGTTGCCGTCCCAGTGGACTTCGACACTGAGAAAATAGAGTGCACCTGTAAATACTAAATAAAGTGACGGAGTGTATTTGGGGGAATAAAATACCCGTACATATTTTAAGGGTAAGGTCTAGTTAGCATACACGCATTAGCCATAGTCCTCTCAGAAATTAGAGGTGTGTGTGTGTGCGTGTGTTACTTTTTAGCAGATTTCAAAAAGAGGAGGTTAAAAGTTTGTCTTTAATATAATAATAATAATAATAGAATAAATAATAATAAAGTCTAACCCCACGTCCGAGCTTAACACCTACGCTCACGTGAGTGGCGGACACCCGCAACGAAGGTACTTTGTGGGTGACCAACGGGGCTCTAGCACACCCATCAATATGTAGTTGAGAAATAAAGTATTAGTAAAGGACCGCTTCCCGAGGGCAATCGTCGGGGCACGCCTGGAGCCGGTGCTGGGCGTTTCAGTATGCGAACAACCGATGGCGATGGTTTACCTGGACGGCCCTCTGCCAAGTCTCCCGAACAATGCGAGTTCAGCGCATCATCAGCACTAACATCGTCTGATGAATACAAGTGCGATAGTAAAGCAGTCTCTCCGGCCTCGGATGTTTCACAGGCGGTAAGGGCCACTCAGCCTGTGACCACCAAAGCTGGCAAGCCTAGAGTGCGCATGAAATGGGATGAAGAAATAAATAATTTCTTTATGAGCACTTACTTTTACATTACCAAATTAGAAACCGATCGTACTATGTACGTTAAGAAATTATTTGACTAATTTCAATTAAAATATCCTCATATAAATGTCACATCTCAACGTATTGCAGACCAGAAACGAGTAATAAGAAATAAATTGTTATCTGATGAACAAATCAAAAGTATAAAGCAACAAGCAGCTAAAATAATTGAAAACGAGAAAGCGGAGAATAATATTTCGGGCTCACGTTCAGATACAAGAGACACCAATCATATGACGGCGGGTAATTCAAATCTCGACCTTTTTTAGCCGTCGTCAGTCATCTCCGCCCTCTTCCTTATTCGAAACTCTATCAATTACCTTAACATCCGATTCTGCAACACAAACTCTAGCAATGAGCTGCACGGCTCAAACTAGTATTTTAAGTGTTTCACACCCAGCTGAAATAAATCCACAGATGATGGTTTAGTACAGAAGTTAACCAACGAACTGAAGACTAATCTAGCATTGTATACTGGTACGGACCCCAACATAAGACCCAAACTGCAGCGATTGAAAGAAAATAAGCAGCTATATAGTTTACTTAACATTTTCAATAGTCATATATTACCCAAATACTATAGTATTGATTCTGAGTTACTAAATATTCATACCCTCATATATTGTTCAGCTTTAGCTATCTCAAAACTATTAGGATATAAAATTTCAAACGGCCCCTTAAAAAGCTAATTTCATTTAACAATAAAACGGCTTGGCAAATAAGATTAGAAATAGATGTATCTATCCTGCGCGCTGATGTGGCTAGATTAACGCAATTTATTAACAATAATGGACATCCTAGATTTGTTAAGAAAATTGATTTAATATTTGATAAATATAAAGTTTATTCAACTTATGATAAAAATAATATTAGACCAGCTGAACCGGCTTGGCAAATAAGATTAGAAATAGATGTATCTATCCTGCGCGCTGATGTGGCTAGATTAACGCAATTTATTAACAATAATAGACATCCTAGATTTGTTAAGAAAATTGATTTAATATTTGATAAATATAAAGTTTATTCAACTTATGATAAAAATAATATTAGACCAGCTGAATTTTTAGACACTCTAAAACAAAAACTTGCACTTAAAACCCAAAGATTAGCCAGATACAAAAAAATCCCTACAAAGAAAAGGATTTTATCGGATGCTCAAACATAATGTAAGTAATGTATCCAATGAACCCAAGGAAGTACCAGCGATTGGATCACCAGCTTTCTTGCAGATCGGAGCATCAAGGTCGTTGTAGACGGTGCAAGCTCCGATTGCAAGCCTATTAATGCCGGTGTTCCACAAGGCTGCGTGCTATCGCCAACGCTGTTTCTTCTGCATATCAATGATATGTTGCAAACCCGTAACATTCATTGCCATGCAGATGACAGCACTGGTGATGCTCTTTACACGGGCCGAGCCAATATTTCTCGGGAAAACGTCTCCGAGTGCCGGGACAAACTTGTGTCTGAAGTCGAGTCTTTGCTGAACAGAGTCTTGGATTGGGGGCGACTAAATCTAGTCCAGTTTAACCCCCAGAAGACACAAGTTTGCGCGTTAACCGCTAAAAAGAACCCCTTTGTCGTATCTTCTCAGTTTCAAGGCACTCCCCTTGTTGCCTCAGCCAGTATCGGAATCCTCGGCGTTGACATATCGAGTGACGTGCAGTTTCGTGGTCACTTGGAAGAGAAGGCCAAATTGGCCTCTAAAAAGCTTGGCGTGCTCATCAGAGCGGGACAGTATTTCATGCCGGCACACCGCCTGCGACTTTATAAGGCACAGGTTCGGCCGCTCATGGAATATTTCGGTCGGAATGTTCCCATCTCTGGGCTGGGGCTCCCCAGTACCAGCTCTTTCCACTTGACCGCATCCAGCGCAGAGCGGCTCGAATCGTCGACGACCGAGTGCTTTCCGATCGGCTCGATTCACTGGCACTGCGAAGAGATGTTGCATCTCTTTGCATTTTATTTCGCATATACCATGGAGAGTGCTCTGAGGAATTGTTCGGATTAATCCCAGCCGCCAAATTTCGTGAACGCACTACGCGGCAAAC